ATTCTATGTTCTGTGATCATCTTGATGTCTTCTTGAGGGTCTGTCTAACCGCTACGCATCTCAATGCCCATCAGCGGTCAGGGGGCCTCTGAAGAAGTTGTCCAAGGATGACCGTAACACCTGGGTGATTTCTGGTGGGAACAAGCCATTCCTTCTCGGCATTGTGTCTTAAACTTTGCTTGCCCTTTCTGAGGAAAACGCCTGTAATGGACAGCTAGGGATTTTCTTTTTTGGCAGAGGAGACCGATGTTGCTTCGTGGCCAAGGTGAGCCAGATGTTCCAGCATTCTCAACTGGGCCTGGCGTTGATTTATGCCACATTCTATCCTCGAAAGAGAAAGGTAAAAGACGCAGATTCCCATCTGAAGTCCATCTGGGCTGGAGAGAGAGGTGGAGAGACCGGGAAAAGAGGAACGAGGCCCATGCTTCAGGTCACTCAGCCAAGGAGAATCTGACAGCAAGCAGACCTTAGGAAAGAGAGAGTTCAGAAACAAGGGAGTAAGCAGTTTTTCGCTCTCCTTCCAGTCGAAAAAGAAATGGCTTCTGACTCAGCTGCAACATTGATTTTCTCTTCCACCGCTCGACGGTTCTAAAAATGCTGAACGACGTCTTAAAAGCAGCAGTAAAAACTATCAGGGGAAAAAAGAAGAAGAAGAAGCAAATTCTTAATATTTGGCAGCCTCTCTTTAAACTTCCCAATGGCTCCGAATAGGAACCGTCCGACTGATTGTCCCTTTGACGCGGCCAGATGTCGACTTCAGCAATGGATGGAAAGGAATCAAGTTATTTCCATGCTAGTTGTGGGAATAACTCCAAGGAATTTTAAGGACTGAGGAGCTCGGAGTAATGACGCAAAAAAATAGAGGGCCGTATTTGCAATTGCAGGTGGTCCTCGAATTACGACTGTAATAGAGCTCAGAATTCTGATCCGCTAAGTTGTGGTATTCGTAAGAGGAGTGACTGATTTGATGTTACTTTTTTTTATGATGGTCGTTCAGCAAACGTGGCGATCATTAGGCAAATGGTCATTAAGCGAACCCATTTCCCCCAGTGGGAGCTTTTGCTGGAAACCAGAACAGTGAAAACTGGCAAAAGGAATGACAAATTGTGGTCACGTGAATATAAAGGTGAGCCAAGCCCCCAAGCCCCTCCTGTGACTGTGATATGTGTGTGTGTGTAGCCATCATAACTCTGAAAATAGGTTGTAAGTAGTTCTGGGGAGTCTTGTGGTAACTTCAAGTGGTCATTAAGCGACCAGTCTTAAGTTGAGGACAGCATGTACAGGCAAAAATAAATAAATAAATAACATGATATATAGCAAATATACAGTATTTGCTATGGAAATACAAAGGATTGCACCATCACAAATAAAACCTGCTGTTTAAAGCTCTCCTGGTCTACCAACTGAAGTTTTGTGCAAGGGGGCTCTTCCACTGTCTTCGCAGAGGTGACGATTGTTAAGGAAAAGGTTTCCATAGGAGAAAAAAGGAGAAATGACCATCGAAAAAAATGCCAAGATGATTTATTTGTCCTCGTGATGATTTCCTAGATAGCCAAATGGACAGAGATCTGTCCTCGAGGGGCAACGAGGTAATGAAAAAGTCACGAAAAAAATCCCCCTGAGCTGAAGTTTCCTCTCCCAAAAATTCCAGTCCATCTTTTTCTGGCCTTCCGGGCAACCTTCGGTCGAGTTGAAAGAATGCAATTTCTCCTTGCTAAGATGAAGAGAGTGCTGCTCTTTGGAAGGCTGGGGGGTGGGGTGGGGTGGGGGGTGAGGGGATGTCCCCTTCTCAAACACCCACCCATCCCCACTGGATGCCTCAACCATCCTTCAAAACCAGCCAAAAAGTTGTCCCAACTCAATGCTCCAAGATGACTTTACAAACCATCTCGGCCACGTCTCTTCTCAAAGCAATTCTTCCCTTGGCTTGACGTCAGCTTTTCAGAGGCGAATAAAAATCATAGCAGAGAGGATTTTGTCTGTCCCGAAGGTGCTTTCTTTCAAAAGGCAACTGGACTTTTTGGTTGTGCTGGAAGACGTTTCGCTCCTCATCCAAGAAGCTTCTTCAGTTCTGATGGGAATGGTGGTGAAGGGAAGGATTTATATTCCTTTGCAGTCCTCTGGTCGTTAGTGCTCTCTCTGAGAGTCACCTGTGCCCTCGAGGTCATCTGAATCCTGCAGTCTGCGACTTTTCCTGGAAATCTGTTCGTACTCTCGCACTATCAGAACGACTCTCAGAAAGAGGACTAACGGCCAGACGACTGCAAGGAATATAAATCCTTCCATTCTCCACCATTCAATCAGAACTGAAGAAGCTTCTTGGATGAGATGTCTTCAAGCAAAACAAAGTGCAGTTGGCTTTTGAAAGAAAGTAATTTTGGGACAACCATGACCTGGATGACTGAGAACCTCCATTGATAGTCTCCTCATCTGTATTTTAGTGTACGGGCTGCTGAATCAAGCATTGCAGCCCCCCTCCCCTAAAAAGGGGCCTCCCAGTGACCAACTTGTGAAGGTCAGGATGGAGTCCTTGACTTTCAGGATTCCACAGTGGGAAGAGATGGATGAGATGGACTGCAAACCTCAAGCCTTGGGAGGCTTTCTACGGGCTACTCAGGTGTAGGGCTAAGAAAGCACCACCAGGAATGTTTCAGCTCCTGCAATTTATGCTAATGCCATTCAAATCTGCAATACTCAAAATAAGACGTCTAGACGAAGAGAGCAGATGTAAAGAAAGGCAAACACCACCAGTTTTCTTCACCCACCCCCTGTATTTTGAATTAACTTCACAATCATTTGTCTAACAGTGTATTTTAAGGCGATGGAAACCAGATGTGATTCTGGGCTATCCTCCCCGGTGGGTGAGTGTTAAAGGCGCAACCTGAAATCTACAAAGGCAGGCAGACTTTGTTTTTCCTATCCGGATCTCTGCGTAGATAGAAAATATGAACATTTAGGCAGCTGGGCTCCCCTTTTCCAACGAACAGAACTTTATTCTGTTATCTGTTCAGGGCCCATGGGCTTGGGGAGGGGGGGTCTCTGCCAAATAGCTCGGACTACAATTCCCATCGCCCTGCTGGCAGAGCTCAGACTGATCTACACGCAAAGCCGCAAGACGCATGAGCTGCAATATGAAACTGCGCAAGGCTCTGGTGTGGACGTCCAGCAGGCTAGCAGGAAGGAAGACGTTTGGGATCAACCCTGGCATGCTCTCACTTCCGAGGGCACAGCTGCTGAGCCAGCACTAGCAGGAGAAAGGTGATCGGGTTCGCGCGGGAGGCTGGCGGCGCAAACTTTACGGTAGGGAAGCCCAGACAGGATTCATTTCGAGGCAAATCAAAATGTTGTTATCGGGGAAATTGTGGCTCACAAGCGGCGTCTTTGCCAAAGCGGCCAGGGTCTGAAATCAAGAATTATTCTGAATATGAATTTCCAAAAATTAAGTGTGTTATGGTCCAAGAGTTACCTTATAGAAGTAGAAGAGAGTCGGCCGTGAAGTCACCGAGAAACTCACTCCTGGGACTTTTTAAATTTTTGAAAAATAACAGAGGGGGCTTCTTCAGTCTGGGAGGGTCTCTATGCCTAGGGGGCTTTGATACATGCTAAAAACATACTGCTCGAGTCAAAAAGAGGGCTGTGAAAATATTTACAGACCCCTCGCATCCTGGACATAAACCGTTTCAACTCCTACCCTCAAAACGACGCTATAGAGCACTGCACACCAGAACAACTAGACACAAGGACAGTTTTTTCCCCAAATGCCATCATTCTGCCAAACAAATAATTCCCTCAATACTGTCAAACTATTCACTAAGTCTGCACTACTATTAATCTTCTCACCGTTCCCACCACCCATCTCCAATCAGTTTCACAAGTTGACACACTTTCTCCATTCCATCCGTGATTTTATACCCTTCAAAAATTTTGCCCTGCCGTCAAATTGATTCTAAAAGCGAATGAATCTCAAACATCCTAGCCTTGTCTCGTAAAGAAGCCCTCTTTTGGGTTGTCTTCTTCTGCCCTGAACTCAGAAGGACCTTGAATTATGACCACTGTCCTGTGGCTTCTTTGGAACGAGACAGTAGATAGCGCTTTAATTGGCTGGAACTTGGAACGAAGATGATCCTAAAAGGAAACCAGAAGACCAAGGAAGGAGCTGCCAGCATCTCTATGAACATCTTACCTGTCCATCTTCGTGGTCAAGGAGAGCCAGGAGAAAAGGAAGAGCTCCTCAGAAACCTAACCTGAAAAATGCCATCTTATAGTTCAAGCAGAAAGTTCACAGTCCTGGCAGTTTTGTTTTCAGAAGGGACCAGCAGCCAACGCAAACACCTCTCCTGTTTACCATTCAAGGACCTGCATTAATTTCTTGGCAAATCGTGTGAGGAAACCTGCCAGGGATGACAAAACCAACCAAGGAACTCTAACCTGATTAAGTCAGGAATTAATTGGGTCCTCCAATCTACTTCAGTCCTAAGAATTCTGCCTTGCCTAAGGCATGCCAACGGATTAGCCTCCATAATGGAACACCAGCCCCATGACTGAGCTGAAAAAAACGTCCCTGCCATTAAAAAAATGAAATACACAGGTTTGAACAAAGCCAGAAGGAGGGAGAAGCCCAACCTGGAAAACACGCTGGAGAAAACTGGCTAATATTTGCACCAGCAGCTCTTTAGGGAGCACAGTCTTCCGTGTTAAGACTGCCCAAACATTCAGAGCATCCTAACATCCATCATCCCCTAATTTCAGAAGAAGGCGAGTTGATAAACAGGACAGAAGGGTCTGGGGCACAGCAATCCCGACTGTGATGTCTTTTTGGCATGAGTCGAAAACCTTTTTATTCACGGAGGTTTTGTTTTATGCTCTCAGGTTTTAAACTTTGTGCTTTGCTTATTGAAACACAGTTTCAGCCTCCGGATACTTTAGCCTTCTAAATATTTCATCTGAGCTTTGCATTTTATTCCTGCGCTATTTACTATTGAAAGAACAGTTCCTTTGGGAGTTGTCAACAGAATAATTTATTAACCGCCAATCCTCCAAATCCAGTGTTTTCACCTGCAACGTTTCTGCCGCTTATCGCCGCCACCCGCAGCAGCCACAGCGCCAGGAAAATAAGAATGAGAAACCGTTCAGGATCGAACGGAGGAAGCTCCGGGTCTTCTTTCTTCCCAAGGAGTGCTTGAACATGCAAAGAGTTATAAAACCAGCAACAAGGGGTGGGGGAAAAAAAGTGCAAGAAAGTGAGGATCCTTTGGCCTCAGCAAAAATAAATAATAACTTTTTAAAAAACTGTGTGGTCTGCCTATCTCCGTATCGAATCGGTGGGAAAGGGGGGAAACAAATAAAAATAAAACCCATCTCATGTAAAAGTAGGAAAAGAGAGTGTTTTGCTAGGAAAAGGAGGCTTTTTCAAGGCAAGGCATTCGGAAGTGTCTCGGAAGGACGGCAACAAGAGAGACCCCTTGGTGGGAATACTGAGAGGGGAAGGTCACAGTTTTTCCTCCGCCAGGCGCTGCAGGCAGTGCCTCCGGTGGGAACCCTTGTTGTGCATCTCGATCACGGCGTCCCGGACCAGCTCGATGAACATCTGAGGCCAGAGCTTCTGCAAGGACTCGTATTTCATGTGGATGTCGGCAGCTTCCTTCACCAACTGCTGGATGTAGCTTTGGCAGAAGCTCTTCTTCTCCTTCAGTTCCTGCACGGAAGAACCGTGGTTGAGGGCCATGAGTGGGAAGGAGAGAGAGAAAAGGGAGGGAGGGAGGGAGGGAGGGAGGGAGGGAGAGAAAAGGAAGGAAGGAAGGAGAGAGAGAAAAGGAAGGAAGGAAGGAAGGAAGGAAGGAAGGAAGGAAGGAAGGAAGGAAGGAAGGAAGGGGGAGGGGAATGAGCTAATGCTCAGGCATCGTGAATTTTCCTGCTGGATTTTAAAATGAATTGTTTCATAAGAAGAAATCAGAAGTGCTCTTTCAGGCAATGGAAATTATATAAGAAACCGATCATAAAGCTGAGAAACAATTTCAACTCCATGAAATAACTCCGCTCAAGCGGCCTTTCCTCTGTAGCCTTAATTCTCTCCAGACCTCTTACCTCCTGCTTTTCCGTCTGTAAAACCCCCGAAATATAAGTCAGAACGGATCGGGTGCTGTTTTCTCCTTCAGGCTTCCGCCGGTTGTTGCCGTTGTCACTCGCATTCCCAAATTTCTTTCCTTTGGCCTCCAAAAGAAAGCATAACTGTTTCTTCCTGGAGACAGGCGAAGAGAGGGGGGAAAACCCAGATTTACGAGTCTATCAAATCCTATCGCGGATTGAGACACTTTCATTTGTTTATGGGAATCTGATTTATTTGTCCCCTGCTGTGTGGCCTTCTTTCTCTTTTGTGCCAGAATTTCAGAAGTGCAATTATTTAGGACAGGCAGTACCTGTCACGCGTGTGGGACAAATACGGTTTGTGAAACGATCTGCCAAACAGTTAAGAAGAAAGGAGGGATGACCTCTAAAACCAAGGAAGGGAGAAAGAGAGCTCAAATAGGAGTGAAAAATGAAAAACAAGAACCAGATAATAAACCTTTCAAAGCCTTTTGTTCAGGTTGGACAGAGGAGAGTAGCTGCACTGCATACCCAGAGATACTGAATGCATACAGGCAGTTCTCGACTTACAAACATTCGTTTAGCGACTGCTCCAGATCCCTCTTTCCCTCTGTCTTCTTTTATCCTCCCTCCCTTTTATCCTTTCTTCCTTCCTTCCTCCCTCCCTCTCTTCTTTTATCCTTCCTCCCTCTCTTCTTTTATCCTCCCTCCCTCTCTTCTTTTATCCTCCCTCCCTCCCTTCTTTTATCCTCCCTCCCTCCCTTCTTTTATCCTCCCTCCCTCCCTCCTTTTCTCTTTCCTCCCTCCCACCTTCCCTCCCTGCCCCTCTGCTTAACCCCACTTGTTTACCTGCAATCTCCCAGCAGTGAGATCAGGCGGTAGTAGGGCACATTGGAAGATGCCACGTAGGCCAAGATCCCAAACAGTCTTTCAGCCATGATCATATCATTCTGAGTAACCTGCAGAGGAGGAAGAGAGAAAAATAATGAAGAGGGAAGTCCGAGAGGCCAAAGTAAAGCAGCTTCAACCCAAAATGTATGGATAAAGTTCAGACAGGGACTTCTGGAGGCCCCTCAGCTCTTGTGTGAGAGACAGGACAACCGAGGCAATTAATCAGCAGAATTAACCAATAGTGGGTGGGAGGGAAGTGGCCTCCAGAAGTTGTGGGGGCTCCATCACTGGAGGCTTTTAACAAGAAACTAGGCAGCCATTTGTCTGGAATAGTATAGGGCAGTGATGGTTAACCTTTTCGGTGCCAAGTGCCCAAAATGCAATGCGAGTGGCCCCCACGCATGCACATGCCCTCCACACACCCTATTTTGGCCCTGGAAAGCCTCCTGCACCAACCTTCACCCCCGTGCATGCGCATGCATGTCCCCTGCATGTGCCCGCCCCCCACGCATCACGGAAGACCAGCTGGTGGGTGGGAGGTGCCCGTCCCTGTACGGTGGAGCTGGGCTGGGCCGACGGCTGGCATGCCCAGAGGGAGAGCTCTGCTTGCCACCTGTGGCACGTGTGCCATGGGTTCGCCATCAACCAATAGTTCGTCAAACTATTTACTAAGTCTGAACTACTATTAATCTTCTCATCAGTCCCACCTCCCATCTCCTCCCACTTAGGACTGTATGACTTTGTTGCTTGTATCCTTACAATTGATACGTACTGATATTGTTTCCTGATTGCTTATTTGTACCCTATGACTATCCTCAAGCGTTGTACCTTATGATTCTTGACGAATGTATCTTTTCTTTTGTGTACACTGAGAGCGTATGCACCGAAGACAAATTCCTTGTGTGTCCAATCACACTTGGCCAATAAAGAATTCTATTCTATTCTATTCTATTCTATTCTATTCTATTCTATTCTATTCTATTCTATTCTATTCTATTCTAATCTAATTCTTATTCTTATTCTTATTCTTATTCTTATTCTTATTATTATTATTATTCTTATTCTTATTATTATTATTATCATCATCATTCATATTTCTATGCCGCCCACTCTCCGAGGACTCTGGGCGGCTTACACCAAAGACAATATACTAAATAGCATATTGCCCCCTAACAATCTGGGTCCTCATTTTACCCACCTCGGAAGGATGGAAGGCTGAGTCAACCTTGAGCCGGTGAGATTTGATCCGCTGATCTGCTGAACTAGCAGTCAGCTGAAGTAGCTGCAGTACTGCACTCTAACCACTGCGCCACCTCGGCTCTATCCTATCCTATCCTATCCTATCCTATCCTATCCTATCCTATCCTATCCTATCCTATCCTATCCTATCCTATCACGGGTATAGAGTATTGTACACAAGCGGGAGGTTGGACTACAAGACCTCCAAGGTCCCTTCCAACTCTATTATTCTGTTATATTCTGATATCTATACATATTCAAGGAGGCAGGCAGTGTGGATCCTCTTAGACTTCCAAACTTGCAAAGTGTATCACATTCCCAGTGGTTCACAAATAATCAATTTCACACATTGTGTGTGTCTGGGGGGGAGGGGGGGAGAAAGAGAGAGAGAGGGAGGGAGGGAGGAGAGGAGGGGAGAGAAAATAAATATATACCCATACACACAGTCTCAGGGGTACAAGAACAATCCAACGAGTTCTCAAAAAGTAATTTATGTGGAACTAAGAAAAACATCAAGAACGTTTTAGCATTTAGCATTCGAAATATAATGGCATCGTTGTTTTATATACGATTCTGGAGGACTTAAACGGAACAGTTCCCCCTTGGTGAAAAAATAAGAGTTCTTTCTTTTCTCCTTCTGGGAGGTTCCAACGGAGTTTAAGATTTTGGCTTCCTTCAACCCTTTGCTCCACGATGGACCAACGCCAAGAAAGAACTGAAAAGTAAAGCTTTGCGAATTGCAGTGCTAAATATATTTCCTACGTTTAAATGAGCGATCGGATGAAACCCCAAATTTGTGATCGATTGCAAAGCTTGTTAAAATTTGTTGCGTGTCCAGAATCGGCCTTTTTTTGAAAAAAAATAAAAATACCCCGGTTACAAAAGACAGAACGTCGGTGCTAAACAAACAAACAAACAAACAAACAAAATAAATAAATAAATAAAGCAAGCAGTGGATTTCCCCCTCCCCCTCATTTCCTGACTGCACTTTGCTTTACTCCCCATTCCAATTTTCTCATGTTTTTTCCTGTTGGAATTTTCGCTCGGTTCACTCGACACATTTATTGGCTTATTTGGCAAACACACACGGACACACACGGACACGCACGCCTGACAAAGAATGTGCCCATGTCAGCAGTGCAAGTAGAGTGTGAAACCTCGTAAGAGTCGGTCGTCATTCGAACCTCAGAAAGGGGCAGTGAAATTCTCACAAATGCTTCTTCATTTGCTGTACGCAGTGAATGCATTTTCTTTGCACGAGAAACTTCTATTGTGTGGTTGGCAAAAAAAAAGTTTCAGGATCATCTAAAGCTAAGGGGTCTCCCAACCTTGGGCACTTTAAGACTTGTGGACTTCAATTCCCAGAATTCCCCAACCAGCTGGCTGAGGGAATTCTGGGAGTTGAAGTCTACAAGTCTTAGAAGTGCCCAAGGTTGGGAGACCCCTGATCTAAACCCATCTAATTTGTACAGGAAATATATTAGTGTCCAAGACTAAACCATCATATTGCCTGACTCAAAGTGAATCACAGGTAGCCTTAGCCATGGTTTATTGTGGCAGACAACCTTCCTTGAGCCAGAAAAAGGAAGAACGTGGCCTTGGAAGGCAAATGGGTTGAGGGAAGGTTAACTTCCTTACCTCCGATCCATTGATCTTTTGCAGGTTAAAATGGTTCAGCCTGAACAGGACGTAAAACTTCCACAAGGTGAAGGCGACCACGGGGTTTCCCTGAGTCTCGACCGTTATCTGCTCGAGCCGGCGCAGGTGAGCTAAGGCGTTGAACTGCTGCAACATACTTAAGTTGGTCTCCTTGAACTTCAAGTGCTGAAAAGAGGCAAGCGGAGGAAGACAGGACGAACGTGAGGATGTGGCCCACGTGGGTCATGAAAAGGACCCCACAACCCTCCTTCTCCTCCTCCTCTCTGCAAACTCCACTCCCTTCTAGCTCTGATGATGTTCCCTAGTTGGGTCATGAAACGTTTACAAGGAAACAACCAAACTCAGAGAGCACCAAGGACCACACAGTCCTCCTCTCCACACACCCTTCCAGCTCTGATGATGTTCCCTAGTTCGGTCATGAAAGGTCTGCAAGAAAACCAAGCTCAGAGAGCACCATGTACCCCAAAGTCCCCTCCTTCTTCCTCCTCTGCAAACCCCACTCCCTTCTAGCGCAGTTGATGGCTGGGTCTTGAAACATCTGCAAGGAAACCACCCAGCTCAGAGAGCACCAAGAAGGGACTTAAGGGACTTAAGACCATTTTTCACACTTTCACACCACTGAGGGGGTCCCTTGGTCAGGTGATTTACCTTTGGATCCTTGACAGCTGGTTCGTATTTATGACGGCTGCAGTCTCCCAGGGTCTTGGGGGTCCCCTTTTGCGACCTTCCATCAAGCAAAATCAATGGGGGAAGCCAGATTCGCTTAATGACTGTGTTACTGACTTAATATCTGCAGTGATTCGCTTAACAACGGTGGCAAGGAAAACGGGCAAAGCTCACTTAACAAATTTCTCACTTAGCAACATAAATTTTGGGCTCATCTGTGGTCATAAGTCAAGGACTACCTGTGTTCGCTTTTTTTTTTAAAATTTATTTTTTGGGAAGTGTACTTGAGTTTCCTGGAAGGATCTACTTGGATCGCAGCTTTCTTCCTCTACTTCTAAGCGAACCGATCGAGGCCCGGAGGCTCTCTAAGGCTTGCCCGGGTTGTTCAAAGAGGGGAGACGCAACTTGCCAGAAAATTGGGGAACTTGAGCTTGAGTTTCGATAGCGCTGGAACGATTTCGTCGAAGTCGATGAAAACAAAGGAGATGGTCACGATGTTTCCCGCCGTCTGAACGCTCCAATTCCGATCCAGGGATTCCAGAGCTCCGGAACCATACAGGCAGAGCGTGTCGCCGTCTATTTCAACCAGGTGGGACTCCAGACCAGGCACAACTTTGTCTAAAATGGTCTCCAGGGATCTGGAGAGAGAGAGGGGGGGGGGGGGGGGGAGAGGGGGAGGGAGGGGAAGAGCGGGAGGGAGAGGGAGGGGAGAGAGGAGGGAGACAGGGAGAGAGGGAGAGAGGGGGTAGTGAGAGGGGGAGGAAGGAGGAAAAGGGAGAGGGAGGGAGAGAGAGGGAGAGAGAGAGGGAGGGAGGGAGACAGGGAGAGAGAATTGTTATACTGAAGCAGAGGGGAAGGGAGAGGAAGGGAAGAGAGGCTGACAATTCCTATCCAGGACTAGGAATATCCAGGTAGTCCTCAATTTACAAGTTCGTTTAGTGACGGTTCAAAGTTACAATGGCGCTGAAAAAAGGGACTTACGACCAGTTCTCAGATGACTGTGGCAGCCTCCCCATGGTCACGTGATCAAAATTAGGATGTTTGACAACGGGTTCGTATTTATGACGGATGCAGTGTCCCCGTGTCATGTGATCCCCTTTTGTGACCTTCTGATAAACAAGAGTCAATGGGGGAGCCAGATTCACTTAAGGACCATGTTACTAACTGAACAACTGCAGTAACGAATGTGGCAAGGAAGGCCGTAAAAGGGTGCAAAACTCTCTGAACCCATGTTTCGCTTAACAGCAGAAATCTGGGGCTCCACTGTGGTTGTAAGTCGAGGACTATTTGCTGTGGGCCGTTCCCTGCAACAAGGAGGCGCCTTTATCTCACCTTCAGGGGCTCCCAGCCCTGAGATGCCTGGCGAATCTTCCGCTTTAATGATGTGGCTGGGCTCACTGCCCGCTTTGGAATTCCTTCCTTGTTCAGCACAAAATTTTTATCTCATTTTTCGGTTATCAAATATGCCAGAAAGTGTAACGTGCCCACTTTCCTTTGATTTCTAAGCACCTTCCCCAAGTAGTCATTTAGGGAGGAATCCAAACTTTCTGCCAAAACCACTTTTAAAAAAAAAAAACACACACACACACAAAACTTCACTGATTGGAATCTATTTCTGGAAATATTACCTAGACGCCACCCCGAAAACATTCAGTGTGTGTTCAATTTGTTCTTCTCCGAATTCCGCCGGGCAGATTTCCCAAGCAGAGATGAAATCTTAAAAACCTCAGCTAAACCAGGAATAATCAAAATAATCGATTTGAGTTGCACCGAGTGTGTTTTCAGGCGCTGTGTGTGTCTCCAGTTCCCTTAAATACCATGCCTGGTGCCATGCAGTGACTGGGTGTCTGAAGGATCTGCTTCCTCACAAATTAAAGGAATAAAAGGAAATCCATCTACTGACGACCCGTTCTTAAGACGTGTTCTTAATTTGGGACCTTTTCCTTGCAAAGCACCCGACCTTTGCTGGAATCAGGGGCTCTCTGGGCCCCTAAAGCAGGGGTCTCCAAACCTGGCAGCTTTAAGATTTGTGGACTTCAACTCTCAGACCCCTGTTCTTGTGAATGTTCAGAATGTGACTCCAACGTCCTCACAATCAGGATATAGCAATAGCAACAGCCCTTAGACTTATATACTGCTTCACGGGGCTTTTACAGCCCTCTCTAAGCGGTTTACAGAGTCAGCCTCTTGCCCCCTCTTACCCACTTCGGAAGGATGGAAGGCTGAGTCAACCTGGAGCCTGGTGATGCACTCTAACCACTGTACCACCACAGCTCAAGGAAGGAAGGAAGGAAGGAAAGAAGGAAGGAAGGAAGGAAGGAAGGAAGCAAGGAAGGAAGCAAGGAAGGATTAGAAAGGGGGAAGGGAGGGAGGGAGGGAGGGAGGAAGGAAGGAAGGAAGATAGCAATAGCATTTAGACTTATATACGGCGTCAGTGTTTTACAGCCCTCTCTAAGCGGTTTACAGAGTCAGCGTCTTGCCCCCAACAATCTGGGTCCTCATTTTACCCACTTCGGAAGGACGAAAGGCTGAGTCAACCTTGAGCCTTGGTGAGATTCGATCTGCCAAATTGCAGGCAGCCGGCAGTCAGAAGAAGTAGCCTGCAGTACTGCACTCTAACCACTGCGCCACCCCAACTCTTGATATCGATGCTTTATGGAGGGTTGGGGCATAAGTATCCGCTGGTGGCCTGCGTCCAATTCCCAGCTTTCGGGACTGGCTGGAGCCATCGCGTTCCTCCAGGCAGCCAACCAGGGATGCCAAAGAAACCCGTGACTGGCCCACCGTCGGCTCATTTCCTAAAGGCAACAGCTACGGCTTGTGTTCTCCTGCCTCGTGTGTCAAGGCAGAGAAAAGCCTTTTTTTTCCCCTTCTCTAAATGGTTTGATGGCTCCTGTGATTTTGATTTATAGAAATGTAACAGAAGCTCAAATATCTGGAGTCTGCAGAAACCGCTGACAACGCCCTGGTTGAGCCGGGGAGAGGTGGGGGGGGGGGAAAGCTTTGCCTGCCATTCCAAACCCACTCGTTCTAGGACTGTTTCTTGAATAGCACCCCTCTGGAACACAGGAGGAGCTGGAGGCCAAGGTTTTCCTGTCTGGAACAGAGTCTATCAAACTGGAAGAGAGGACGAGGCTAGCCGGGGTGGGTTTTATTTGAGCCTGTGCTTCCTGCGTGCGTGCACACACGCTTTCGTCCGAGAGGAATGAAGACAGTTAATTCTTCCAAGGTTCTTTCCTCTGTGCGAAAGTGAATTACAGTTTCCAGAAGGAATGTGGAAACTTGCTGTGTACTTCTTCATATTTTATGAGACAGGAAAAAAAAAAGAGACGGGAATAATAATAATAATAATAATAATAATAATAATAATAATAATAATAATGGCATTCTTGATGGAGAAACTACTAGGAATAAACTCACTTCGGATTACCCAATTGGGTAAAAGGAAAAAAAAAATGTCTTTTTAACTGGATGGAGGAGGAAATGCCAGAAGTTCTCAGGGTGGGTGGAAGGACTGATGTTCATGGAAGCTACTCAGGAGGCAGGCTGGGTTGAAGAAATGAATTTTGTAGGGATCGGCAGATCTATTTTTTCGGTGTTTGCCTAGTTTTGGTATAAAGCTGGAGACAGCAGAGGGACAAACGGAAGTAAGAGCTGCTTTCTTAGCCCTTAAAGGAGGCTGGAAGGAACCAACATTTAGAGTCAAGGTCACCAGATGTCTTGAGGACGCCATTCAAGATATTATGGCCCCCCTTGATGTCCCACATGGTTTACTCCACAGGTAGGGAACCATGGGCCCTTTCTTTTATGACTTCAACTCCCAGAATTCCTGAGCCAGCACTCTGGGAGTTGAAGTCCACAAGTCATAAAAGGAAGGGCCATGGTTCCTCACCCCTGGCCAACCCCCTGGAGATGGCCTTCTCTTAAAGCCCTTTTGCCCAACTTTATCCACTTGAAGACGTGTGGGCTTCACTTCCCAGAATTCCCTGGCTGGCTGAGGAATTCTGGGAGATGAAGTCCCCACTTCTTCGAGTGGAAAAGGATGGGAAACGTGGCCTCAAAGGCTTCTGCCTGGAATCCTGCGTTCTTTCGAGGTCCCTTCTCTTAAAAAGTGTTAGGGGTCACGAAGGACAGCTGTCTTGGCCCTTCCTACTCACTCACACACAAACACACAGCTTCCACTTTTAAGTCCTGAAAGAAGCATTGATGCCTTTACCGCGGAGGAGTTTTTAAAAAACTCCCTGTCTGGTGTGTGTGTCTTTTTTTAAAAATAAACTTGAATAAATTATGATTATTGGCTTCGGCAAAGCAACTCAAAGCAGTGAGAAACAACCCCCTCCCCCGGGATAATTCCAGAAATTATCCTATGAATCACCAGCAGGTCGGAGTTAAGGAAGAGTTTCTCCTTAAAATAACACAGGTGCCAGAGAGAGAGAGAGAGAAAGTGAGAGAGAGAAAAAGAGAGAGAGAGAGAGATGGACTAACTGGAAGGGGGGAAGCTGTTCCGAGGGGCCGTGTTGCCGGGAGCCGTTCATGCACAAAGAATTAGCAACTTCACACCGTTGGATCTGGCAGGAAACGCTTGTTTGTTGGAGAAAGAGAGTGCACAACCAGTTGTATATTTTTGTGCAATGCAGCCAGTTTGGGGGAGAGGAGAGGGGAGGAAAACCAGGATTTAAATATGGATTGGGGGGGGGAGGGAATAAGAATTTCGAAACTACACGTAGTCGTCGATTTACGACCACAACGGAGCCCAACGTTCATGTCGCTAAGCGAGACATTTGTTAAATGGATTTTGCCCCATTTGATGACCTTCCTCGCCAGGGTTGTTAAGTGAATCTGGCTTCCCTGTGGAGGTCGCAAAAGGGGATCACGTGAGCCCAGGAGGCTGCAACCATCATAAATGCGAACCAGTGGTCGAACGTTGAATTTTGATCACGTGACCGTGGGGGATGCTGTAATGGTCGCAAGTGTGAAAAACGGTTGTAAGTCCCTTTTTTGAGTGCCGTCGCAACTTCGAACGGTCACTAAATGAACTGTTGTAAGCCGAGGGATACCTGCTGTGGTCGTAAGTGGAGGACTACCTCTTCCCTGCTAGAGGTTAGGTGAGTGTTTCTCAAGCTGGGCAGCTTTCAGAGGCATGGACTTCAATTCCCAGAATTCCCTGCAGCCAGTCATGTCCGGCTGGGGAATTCTGGGAGTTGAAGTCCGGGCCTCTGAAAGCTGCCCAGCTTGAGAATGCCGGTGCTGCTGGAGGAAGGAGATCTTTGACTGCAAGGCCTCGTCCTGGACCGAAGTCGGCGATGCCCTACCTGCCCTCCTCCTCGGGAAATTCGCAAGCCTCATTCCTGTTGTTCTGACAGGGCTCCTCGCCTTGGAGGTGCTCCGGGTTCGAAAGCTTCAGGACGAGGCGGCTCTGCTGGACTTCCCAGTGATGGGCGATGTTGCAGATGGTTAAGCGTTTCTTCTCCTGAAAAAGGGATGGAGAGAGAACCGAGTCCAGAGCGAAGCTTCGGCGCGGGTTAAGTTGCCCAGTTTGAAAAACACCCACTTAAAGAGTCCGGGATGATCGTGGTTATCTCCCCTGCCAGGTTTAAATCTAGGACACAGGAGGTACGGAGGAAGAAGAGGAGCTGAGCAGCTTTTAAAAGGCGGAAAGCTGCGTGTCCAGGGAATCCCTGAACCGCTGAGCAGTTTCGACAGAAGGGAGCGTTTGCAGCTCAGAATTGGACTGTGGGGTCCTCGGTGCTCTCTGAGCTCTGGGGTTATTTTTTTTGCAGACGTTTCATGACCCAACTAGGTAATATTATCAGTGCACTAATGGATGATGTTATCCAGCCTGGGAATGAATGTCTGCAAGAAAACCACCAAACCCAGAGAGAACTAAGGACCCGCAGTTTTGAGTTTGTGGAAACCTGGCCACTGTAGGGCTGTTACAGGAGGAGGAAGCAGGCAGTGAAGCCACACTGAGTGTGAAGGAGACAGTGGTGGACGAGCATAACCTGTCTCTACCACCGTAAGAAAGAAAAGGCCCCGAGCTGGGAGATAACCAGGAATCGAGGTTTGTTAGCTTGCAGCATCATAAAGATACCTTTAACAAAGTCTGCCTGTGACTTTCACGCCTCTTCTCTTCCTCTTTTCTTAGGGCAATGGATGCCAGGCGCCGCTCTTCTTCCTGGAGTCAAACACAAACAAAAGACAAGCACCCAGTTTTCCCCCAAGGCTCGCAAAATAAGACAAGGGGTCCATTAAAACCACCAATTAATGCCTTTTTTATCAAGAGTATGACTCCCTAGTATGATTTTCCCCACCCAGGAAAGGACTCATCTGCCTCCATTATTCTATCCTGGCAAGATGGATGATACTTTCGTTTTAATGGGGAATTTACTGGAGGGAAAGGAATATTATAGTCCCTTAATATAAATGCTGCAAAACACTGCAAATAGGAAGAAGCATTCGGCTTCTTTTTCGGCTGGCTCTTAAGCCAAACAAGAGGAAAGAACAGGAGTAGCTAACAGGGCAAAGTTTTGAGAATAATAATAACTGGACAACAATCATTTTTATACCATTACATATCAGTCCCTCCCAGCATCCAAAATAGTTTTTCTGTGTCTCCCAGGAAAGAAATCCTCAAAATGCACTTATTTTGAACTTTCCCTTGCAATTCTTTGCAACGGGAGAAACGCTTCTCAGAAAGATCGATTAATATTAAAAGGGTTTTTCTCATGTTTCAGTCCTGTACCAGTTATCTTTTAGAAGGTTTGTTTTAAAATAAATGCAACCATCCTGAATGGCTCTCATGCCAGATTTGCTTCTAAGTAAGAGGTTTGTGGCTTCAGCTGGCCGGAAGGCTGAATCTGAAGGATTCTAAGCAGGAATAATTGGAGCCTAACCCCAAATGTGTACTGGTATTGCTAATTTCTTTCCGCCTGCTCTCTGTCCCTCCTCCCCTATTTGATCTGCAAGATCTTTGGGATATGGATCAGGGGTGAAATCTACTTACCTTCCCTACCGGTTCGGAAGTGTGTGCGTGCACACGTCACATGCAATTTTGGACCCTCTGTGCATGCGCAAAGTCTTCTGCTTGGTTAAAACCAGGAAGTAATGACATCTGGGCGGGTGGGCGGAGCCTTGTGCTGTCACTACCGGTTCGCCGAACTGGTGCGAACTGGTAGCATTTCACCCCTGATATGGATCTACAGACTGAAGATCAGCAGAAGCTGGGGACATCTCCCTCCCAAGCCCTTCTCTCCCCATGCAAATCCTTGTAAGGCAGAGGTCTTCAAACTTGGCAGCTTTAAGATTTGTGGACTTCAACTCCCAGAATTCTCCAGCCAGTATAGCTTCTAGGAGTTGAAGTCCATAAGTCTTAAAGCTGCCAAGTTTGAAGATCTCTGCCTTATAAGCATAAAGCAAGGATCAACTCTTCTATTGGGTTAGTGGTGCCCCCTTATGGGCATCATGCACCACATCTCGGCTGGACCCTTTCAATTCCAGGTAAACTCAAAACAAGTTTCAAGTCAGAAGCGTCGGAAGCCGGGGCTCTTGGGTTAAAAAAATAAAATAAAAATAAAATCTAGGCAAGCAGGCTGGGGAATTCTGGGAGTTGAAGTCCACCAAGTTGTGGGAGATTGAGGAAGGCTGTACTAAGCTCGTTGCTCTGAAAAATGCTATAGAAATTAATAGAAGACAATGGCTAATTAAACCATTGAAGATCTTATTAAAAAAAAACATCTTGCTTATTTAAAAGCTCAGCCCGTGGCGGCTAACTCAAGGCCTCGTGCTGCAGTCTCATCGTGACTTTATATGGCCTTAGAGAAAATCCTTCCGTCTGCCCTGAATTTCAGCAATGGCTTGCCTCCCCAGATTCAAAGGTGGTTTGGCGTTTCCCGCCAACCTTTACGGCTGTCAAAGTGTTTTGTTTCATTTAAAATTCAACGTAAATCTGCTAAGTTAAGAACTGTGGGTTCCTTGTTGGTGACTGAGCTGGGTCGTTTTCTTGCAGGCGTTTTGTGACCAGGCTGGGTTACACCATCAGTGCTTGTTAAGGACTGCATTGAAAAAAAAATTGGGGGGGGAGAGAATTTTTATCCTGGTTTTCTTTTTTGAGGACGAGGATACCCTAAGAATGCTGAATGGAGACCTCAAAACTTGGAAACTGCTGGAAACTCTTCCCAAGGGTCCTGTGTCCTTACTGTGATTTTTTTCATATCCAGCTGTCGGAGCTGCATCATATGGTGGAGAACCGTTGGCTTGTACCATGCCTCCTGCGCTATGGGGTTGCCATCTAGGGTGAGTTCTGAAATGGACGCCGAGTCCGCCAGGCACAGGATGTCTTCCACGCTGAACATAAAGGGGGGGGGAGAAAAAAGAAGAAACCAGGGTGGCTGAATGCAGGCCCACAACCTCGGACAGCTGCAGCTGCTTGGACCGACTTGTCTTAAAAGAATCTCACAGCAACCAAACCCTCCCGTTACATGAAGGTGCATTTTGGTAACAGCTGTCAGTATTACTTGGCGTTTACCTGGGCTCTTCATTTACCTATTTATCTACCCCGCTGAATCACCCGTGGTGTAATATTCGAGATAATGGGATCTCTGAACAAGGCATTCTGCTAAAAGAATGGGGCTAAGGAGACGGACATTGAAGCAAGGATGTGGTCGGGAAAAAAATGCAGGAGGGCTTTAAGGAACTTTTGGCAACTTTTTTAAAACGTCTGGATTTCAACTTCCATGCTGGCCGCGGAATTCTGAGAGCTGAAATCCACACCCTGATAGCTGGGGAATTCTGGGAGTGGAAATCCAACCTGGCTGGGGAATTCTAGGAGTTTTAGTCCAACCTGCTAGCTGGGGAATTCTGGGAGTTGAAGTCTTCTGGGTATGCTTCTTGTCTGGATTACCTCGCAAGGCTGACATCCATCCATCATTCATTCACGGAAGTACATTTCTCCCTTAGCAAAAGCCAAGGACTCCCAATACGGCTGACCTAAGCATGATTTCCGGGCTAAAGTAGGACAGAATGAAAAGTCCAAACACTGGAACCGGGAGGACTCCTTCAAACCACGTTCTCCCCTGGGCCACCCTTGAGACCACTTAGCAGGGCCTGGAATCAGGGTTGCCAGGAAGCGACTGCTCGTTTCCCAAGTCAGCAACCCCCCCTCCCCCCCTGCCAAGGGCTGGGAAATCTGCATGGTGGCCAACTGCCAGGATGCAGCTACGAGGCAACCTATGCCAAGGAGTTTTCCAGGTCCACAAGAGCCCCACCTCCATCAGAGCATCCCCCAAATTCCTTGGGTCAGGTCCCACACCGGAGTAGGGGCCTCCAGCCTCAGAGAGTGGCCGAGACAGCTGTGGAGTGGGGCTGCAGGACCTTGGAAAGCTCTCTAAGATACAACCCAGGAGAGCAGAGATGAGCAAGAGAATCAAGATCCATTTCATTTAATTCTCCTTTTTTCTCAACTTTCCATTTCCAGTGCAGCTGCCCCCACCCCCAAGTTTGAACCATTTTGCTCCTATATTTTAGCACCCAGAGAATGTGTCCAGTGCAGGATTTTCCCAATACATGCCTTTTTGCCACTGAAACACCCACGAAAGACAAAGTTAACCTTGCTTTGAGTGAATGGCATGAAATCTGCACGTCTTTACTCCCAGATAGAATAGAAAGATTATTTTGGCTGAACTCTGCTTCAGAGTTGGGTTTTTTAAAGTAAATGGTATCTTCTTTCTTTTTTTTTTAAGAAAACAAGTCTCTTTTTTGTTTGTTTTTTTTAACAAAAGACTCACAATGCTATTACAGCTTCTTTCCTCTTCCTTCCCTCCAGGTATTTCAGTGGCTTAACGTTTACAGAAGCTTCAAGAAACATTTCTCTCCTTTAAACAATCTGAGGCTCTCTCTCCCTTCCAAAGAAACCTGGGCCCTGCCCCACCTCTTTTCCAAGGGCAGCCCTCTGGCTAGGCAAGCAAAGCCCAACACGGCTAGAGGAAGTCTCACCAAGGTGCCCAGGTGCAACTTGGCAAGTGCCAGGCAGGAAGGATGATGTCAGCCGGACCAAAACAGAAAATGATCTTCTGCAGAGCTCGCCTCCCACTGCAAGCAAACCCAGGAAAGCCTGCAGCCTTTCCACCTCAATACCCATCAGAATAAAAGGCTGCGTGGGTCTCTCTGGTTTGCGTGGGGGTACCTGCATTCAGCACGCAACGACTGAAGCATCGTAGCCCCCGCAAAGCCCCTAAGATGTGCAAGAGTGATAGGATCAGATGCAGCTACTTGATACTGCCGGGTTTAAAGCAAGGGAGTATGTTAAATCCCGAACATAAGTTTTCTTTTCCATTTTTCTGCAATGCAATAACGAAACAGATCGCCTGAGGAGGTGGTGGCTTTTCGGCTGGAAGGATTGAAAGCTGTGTTCCTCAACCACAGGAACTTTAAGAGAGGTGGACTTCAACTCTGTATTGGCTGGGGAATTCTGGGAGTTGAAGTCCCCCCCTCTTAAAGTTCCTGTGGTTGAGGAACAATGCTTTAAACAGAGGCTGGATGTTTATCTATTTAAGGAAGCCGTGATAATGAATTCCTGCACTGGACAAGGGGTTGGGATAGATGATCTTCAGCATCCCTTCCATTCTAGGGTTTGCCTAGAACATTAAAGTCACAAAATAGTCCCAGAGGGACGCAATTTGAAATGCAACCGACATGGGTCAGCGTTACAAGCCAGTCAGCTCCATGTTTGTTCTGTATCTGCAGTGGAAGGACACCCCCCCCCCCCCAAGTGCCCAACTAGTTTTGAGAGGGTGAGAATCAACTCTTCCCTGCCTGTTGCCCCCGCCCCACATCACTCACTCACTCACACACATGATAGGGGCCTGGCTGAACATCTGATGATTATAAAAAGAGACCGGAAGATTTAACAAAGACTGAGCAGAGCATATTAAATCTGTCACGCTGGGGAGGAAACTTGCAATCATCAAGAGGTGTTGCAGTACAGAATTAGATTTACACACCCACACAAATAAGACACTGCAGAAAAAGAGAGAAGAACTGGCCTCCCTCCTACTTCAAGGGATGGCAGCATTCTTGACAAGGGCGAAAAGAAAATGGGTTCGCCCCGAGGAACAGCGTGCATATTAGTTAACAAAGACTAAGCCTGACAGCCTGCACAGCTGGAACCCAAGAACTTCAGTTAAGGAAAACTCCATCTGTTTCAAACCTGTAGGAAGGAGGATGGGCTGCGAATGCTAAATCCCTTCTTGGCACCGTTTTGTACAAGGGGCATCAGACTGACTCACAACAGATCATCTTGAATCCGAAGAACCGGGGAGCAGATTCTTTCTCTCTGGATCCATTAGGATCCTATCTTTTTCCACCTCCCCTTTGAAGAACCGAAACTCCCAACCAACAATAAGCCGGTGAAAGAGAAGCAGAGAACTTCCCGTCTGTCGCTTTAAAAAGCGGAAGACACATGCTTGGTCCAGGATCTTTACCAAGTTCTACACCGCCTGTGGAGATTCGCAGTCAATCCAGGTCATGCTTGTCCTAAAGTTGCTTTTTCCAAAGGCAGCTGGACCAATTGACTTTTGGAAAAAGGACCTTTGGGACAAGTTCCACATTCTGACACTTTTTGGGGGGGGGGGAACCAGTTAGATCAAAAGCCACTTTGGGAAAGAATTGGAGCCGATCCCCGGAGGACGAAAGGATCTCGAGCGCTGAGAGAGAGAGAGACCGAAAGGGCGCATCGGGGCTTACCAAGAGATGTTGTTGAAGCTGAGGAAGAGACGCTGCAGGCTAGGCAGGGTGTCCACATCTTTCTAAAAGGAGATGGGAGGAAGAGTCGGCGTCAGAGGCCAAGCGGGCAGGGAAGGCAGGACTCCCGAGCAGGCAGTCATGCCCGTTTCCTTCTTTCCCTACCACCTTCCCGCAGCCCTGATGGGAGGAGACTTCCCTGGCGCAGGTCGGAATGAAGGCAGAGCCCTCTTGGGGGAGGGGAAAACCCCCGCTGTGCAGCTGGAGACAGGGTGAAGGCGGAGAAGAAGAGAGGGGTGGGGAGGCAGACCGGGGTGCCAGACGCAGCAGCTGCTCTCTCTCTCTGTCTGAAAGCCGGCCGGCGGGCGTCTCTCTCTCTCTCTTGCTCTCTCTCTCTCTGGTGCTGTCTCAGCATTTGGGGTAGGGGGTGGGGAGCACGGTGCGCAAGGAGGAGGGGAGGGGAAATGTGCCGCAATGAACAGCAGGCAAAATAAAACAGGGCTGGAGAGCCATGTGGCTCTTCCTGCATCAAACTGCTAAGTCATGCATGCAGCCTCCCACCGGCCGGCGTGACTGCAAAGGGATGGGGGTTTTAAGACATTACAGCTGTTTCCCTTTCTTAGGGAACAGAGTCCGGAAGGGAAAAAGAAATGGATAATTTCCCATTTTGCAAAGGAATGGCTTGTCTGCCGTCTCGGAAACACTTGAAGAACTGTGTTGGCGGGGGGGGGGGGTGTGGAAGGAGGAAAGGGAAGAAGAATAACAGCCCTTGGAGGTCTTCTGGTCCAACCCCCTATATTAATATTTGAGACCAACAGACGTCCAATCTCTTCTTAAAAATCTCCAGTGTTGGAGCAGAAACATTTTGCAAACTACAGATCAGGCTAAATGTCTATGGAGATTCTCGGTCATCCAGGTCAAAGGTGCTTTTTCAAGAGGCAACCTGACTTTCTGGTTTTTCTTTGAAGACGTTTCGCTTCTCATCCGAGAAGCTTCTTCAGCTCTGAGCCCGAGGACACAGATAAATCTCCAGGTGGCCTCAAGGACTCCCTCTAAAAGGATGCAAATGACCAGCTGCCTGCAAGGAATATAAATCTTTCCATTCCTCACCCTCCAAGTCAGAGCGGAAGAAGCTTCTTGGATGAGAAGTGAAACGTCTTCGAAGAAAAACAAGGAAGTCCAGTTGCCTCCTGAAAAAGCACCTTCGGGACGACAGATCAGGATGTTTGGGAGCAAAAGGGCATTCCCCCCCCCCCCTCTGGTGCCAAGGAAAACCCCTTTAAGGAACAAGTCGGGTTCAGCTGAGCGAGACCTTACCACCGATCTGATCTTGTTGTAGCGGAGGTTGAGTTCCAGCAATGAATCCAGACCACTGAGGTTTTCGGCGTGGGTCATGCAATTTCGGGCAAGGTTCAACATTCGGAGATCTTTTAAGTGACTGAGGTTTTCTATGACAGAAATCTGGGAGGGGGGGGGGGGGGGGGGGGGGAAGAGTTACTATTTGACCCACTCGTTTCCCTCCCAACACCGCCATCAATGAATGATCCGGTTAAGTTAGCAATTTACCTTCTGTGATTCAAATGACATATAAAGCAGTGTTTCTCAACCTTGGAAGCTTGAAGATGGGTGGACTTCAACTCCCAGAATCCCCCAGCCAGCAGCGCTGGCTGGGGGATTCTGGGAGTTGAAGTTCACCCATCTTCAAGCTTCCACGGTTGAGAAACACTGACATAAAGGGATGTTGTAGAAATGAACTTGTCCAGTGTCCATTATTTAATTAGAACACGCCTATGTGCTTATTCCCTTAATCTCTCTAATTAGCCTATAAAGGACAGTAACACCTAACCTGAAGAGAGGTTGGTTTCTGGCTTCCCACCCAACCAATTCATCCCAGTTTAAATCTCCCATCAGTTAAGCACCTTTTATTAGAACAGGGCTCTCCAAACTTGGCAGCTTTAAGACTTGTGGACTTCAACTCCTTGCTGGCCGGGGAATTCTGGGAGTTGAAGTCCACAAGTCTTAAAGCTGCCATGTTTGGAGAGCCCTGTCCTAGAATTAATAATTTATCAGAGGAGGTGCCACCAGATTCCTCCTGATTTTGGGTTGCCACAGAATAATACACCTCTCCTCCTACACGGTAGAGAAGGTGAAACCAGGAACAGCTGAAGCCGAGACACTCTCTGGTATCTCTTTTACCCCCAATCCTTGGACACTCTCTTCTCTTTACTCAGGTTGTAGGGAAGGAGTAGTTCCTACTAACGGCCAGCTAACAGTTACTTCCCAACCCAACTGCCAAAGCATTGGTGAATCCTACCTGATTGCCGTGAAGATCCAAGACATCAAGGTTTACAAGATTATCCAGGTTGGAAATTCTCCTTATTCTGCAACGGCATTTGAAGTTGATGGAAGGGGAGAAAAAGGAAAATCCATTATGGTATCGATCTAAGAAGAGCTGGGCCAGATGACAAGAAATTCTTTAGAGCTGAAGAAGCTTCTTGGATGAGAAGGGAAACGTCTTCAAGGAAAAACAAAGTCCAGCTGCTTCTTGAAAACGCACTCTCACCAAACTGAAGCATCTCTAACCATTGAAATGTCTTTGAATATTATTAGCTCAGGTCGGTAGTTATGCTGTTGGTTTGCACTCCAAATTGCTTGGCAGTTTGGTTGCTCTGAACCTGAACTCTGAACCTGAACTCTGAACTGGTTTATTACCAGTTCGCTCGCTGCGCTTGCGCAGTGCACATCACACACCAAATGCGAGATGCGCGCACGCAGTGCACGCCAAAAGGAGGCATGCGGTAAGTAGAACAGGGAGCATTTCACCCCTGCTTCATCCCCATTCAAGGAGACATCTTCAGTGCTCTATGAGACAAGCACAATCCACAGCGCACTGAAGATGTCTCCTCGAATGGGGACGAAGCATTTGCCACCAAACTGCCAAGCAATTCAGAGCTCAAACCAACAACGTAACTAACCATCTCCCGGAGCTCAGAAACGAAACAAGTTCTGCTTAATCTAGACTGGATATCTGCAGCCAAAGCAGAATTCTACCAAAAGTAGGAGCCTGGATAGCTCAGCAGACTAATGCATTGTAATTTAACTCCATCTGTCTGCAATTAGTAAGTTCAAATCTCGCCAGGCTCAAGGTCGACTCAGCCTTCCATCCTTTCTAAGGTAGGTGAAATGAGGACCCAGTTTGTGGGGGCAATAAGCTGACTTTGTATAAATATACAAAAGGATGAAGGCTATTGCTTAACACATTGTAAACCGCCCTGAGTCTCCGGAGAAGGGCGGCATATAAATCAAATTAAAAAAAAAAAAAAAAAAAAAGTGGCTGAACTCAGCTCACGAAATAAAACCTGCCATAAGAATCCCGCTTTTCCGATTTCTTTTACCTGTTATTTCCCAGCGAAAGGACCCGGAGACACCTCAGGGTAGAAAGGCCACTGATTTCTTCGATCTGGTTGTCGTACAAGTCTAAGTAAATCAGGTGCTGCAAGTTGGAGATGTTCTGGATTCGAGTGATGAAGTTGTGCTGGAAGCTCAGGAGGCGAAGGTGCTCTTCCCCGTCGATGATGGGACAAACGGTCAGCTTCTGCCTGAGAAGGGAGTTCCAGATAAAGCTCTAAGAAGGGAAGGGGTTAGCTAGTGGCCCAGGGGGTCACTCTAATCGTGACCCTAGGCCAGGGGTCTGCAACCTTAAACACTCAAAAGAGCCATTTGGACCCATTTCCCACAGAAAAGAAAACACCAGGAGCCACAAAACCCTTCCCGTGCCTGACTATTTCTTGAGCGGCCACAAAACTAGCTTATGTAGTTGAATTAAACGTTCTGTTTCCTTCCGAAACTTTTCTTTTCTTGGATTTATCCATGGTTGGCCTACCGGGGGTTGAAAAGCTCAATAAATCGCGTGCCAGCAGGTGTCACACATTGGCGGTTGTGACGCATATTTTGAGTGACAGGGAGCCGCAGCAGAGGGGTGAAAGAGCCACATGCGGCTCCAGAGCCACAGGTTGCTGACCCCTGCCCTAGGCCAGGGTTTCTCAACCTTGGCAAGCTTTAGGCAGTGTGGACTTCAACTGCCAGAATTCCCCAGCCAGCTGAAACGAAAGTGAGGCTCCAACAAAACGAAGCATACTCCCATTCCTAGATTTTCAAGATTTGAAACAGTACCCAATGTTTTAAAAAATTGTAAAAGCTAAGGAAGAAGAGGGTGAAAGGAAAAAGGGAAGGTGGCAGACTGGAGAAGGAAAACGAGAGCAAGCCTGCTAAAATGGAAGTCTTCCTAAATCCCTAAATCCACCTATTAAAGCAGAATATAAATTGTAACCTTTTGTTAGTCCCTGGTAGAATTCCGAATTCCCAGGGGCACAAAGGCTGCAGATGTTTGCAGTCAATGTCCAGCTGCAAACACCTGCAACAAGAACAGTTCCCCCTCCCCCGTCCTTATTTTTTACCTTTCAAGGGTCATCCGGTCCGAAAGCTGGATTTTCTCTTCTGCCGAGCGGAACACCAAAGGAAATCCTGTGATCCCGTAAGTATTATTATCTAACGAGGAGGGAAAATGAAAACTTTTCAACGACCAACATTCGGACCATTTTTAAAGCCAGAGCAGCCCTTGTAGTCTCCGATGGGAGATACTGGCTTTGTCACAAAGGAAGGGACCATCGTGGTTAAAGGCACCAGGCTAGAATCCTAGGACTGGAAGGGACCTTGGAGGTCTTCTAGTCCACCCCCCCCGCCCAAGGCCCTGTCCTCCCAGAAACTGGGGGACCATGAGCTCTAGTCCCTCCTTATCCACAAAGCCAACTAGGTGACCTTGGGCCAGTCATTTTCTCTCAGCCCTAGGAAGCAGGCAAGGGCAAAGATGGTTTAGAGCAGAGTTTCTTCAACTTGGAAATGTTCCAATGTGCATGGGCTTCAATTCCCAGAAATCCCCGCCTGGTTTGGACCATAACTGCATTAGCCCTGCCGATTTGCAGAATTACCTGGGCCATTTGCACTGACATTGTGGCAGCCCTGTTGAACTCGGCACTTCAAAGGATTTGGAAAAGAGCCGTCTCCGCAGACTGTGAGGGAACCCTGACCGTATTTCACTTCCAGGCTAGGGATATCGACAAAATTAGCTGCGATAGGGATGCAGGCTTTTTTACTCCGTGATAAAGGACTTAATCTTCCATCTGCTAGAAGGGGAGTGGGGAGGTGGGAGAAAAAGAAGGATTATTTATCAACAGCAAAAGATTAATATCAAATTTTAAAGTCTTTCAGACTCCTGGGCATAAGAGCCTCTGAAAATATCAGGGCTGACTATTTCCCTATTAGTTTCCTCTTTTGCAATCTTACATGCTGTTGCATTGTTAGCAATCTTGATTTTGACAGTGATTTTTCCCCCCAAAATACCTAGTTTTCCAGGATGGTTTTTTTCAAGGTCGTGCTGCAAGAACCGGTTGTGGAGATAAGGCTGTTCTTTCTGCAATCTCAGTTCCAGCTGCAATAGAAAACGTCAGAAGGGAAAATGCATTATGCACCTTACGAAAACCCAAAAATAAAAAGGATTCTTCCAAGAAACATGGAGATTATGAAACACGCAAGATTTTAAAAGGAGTGGCCGCTTACAGTGAAACCATTCCCACTCATTGATTGGCCCTTATTAATGCTTCTTTATTTAAGGTAGTTTTATTAATTCCAACACGGGAACGAATGTGTTTGGGAAGTTGTAAAATGTGCTCTCCACAACACAAAGCATGCAAGAAGTGTAAGCATAAAAAGAACAAGAGACAGCACATGTACGCACCCACAGCAGAAGACATCACAAAACACCAAATTCACTACACAACTTCAGTCGTGACCTCGGGGGGGGGGGGTTCTCTAAATGTTTATAATAAAAATTCAAGTCTCACAGCTCTGGTCCTTTCGGCCGACGACGTACTTTGGAGAACCAGCTGAACTCCGTAATTGTTGGCCTGCGAACAAGAAAGGAGAATTAATCGCCTCCAAGGATCTCACATTTAAAAGAGGAATAGGCAGGAGAGCATTTCACCTTAGCCTTGTTTTAGGTAAATGGGGTGAAAAGGGTTGCTAGAAGAATGCATGCATAAAATAGGAGGCATTTCATTCCGGTGGCCTTTGGAAAACCCCACATTTTTTTCTAAGAGATGTATTTGGTATATTTATATAGCTGTCTGTCTCACCTGGGTGACCCTGAGGGGGTTGGAAGCACAAAGCAATAGGATGAAATGAACAACAGATAGCAGAAATCTATGACAAAGCATGAAAACAAAATACAAAAATCAAATCGAAAAGTCAAATCAAACTTAAGACTCCTAAATGAAAATGGGAAAAAAAAATAACATTAAAAAATAGTTAAAAACAATGAAGGTTAATAATAATAATAATAATAATAATAATAATAATAATAATAATAAACCATTGAATTAAAATGATTAAATTTTTAAAAAGGTTAAAAATCAAAGTAAAAAAAATGAGACAAATAAAGATGAGACAATAAAAAAAACAAGAAAAAAAAGAAAAAGGAAGGTAAAAAATGTAAAAAAATGTTAAAAAGGTAAAAAAAAAAAGGTAAAAAGGTAAAAAAAGGTAAAAAACGAAAAGCAAAATTATTTTTGGATATATTTTTTTTTAAAAAAACGAAAAGCAAAATTATTTTTGGATTTTTTTTTTTTTTTTAAAAGAAATGAAACAAATGACCAGGTGGGGGGGGAGGGAGGGAGGGAGGAGCTACACTCACAATGGCCTTTCCCAGCAGGGGAAGGACTACAGCCCCCATGCTGCACGGCCGCGGCTGCGCTCCATGGGACCTGTAGTTCACGGGCCCCCCTCGCTTACCGAGACGGTGTGGCCCGGCCTCCCCACCCCGGCGGGCCTGCATTTGCTGGGCACCATGGCAACCGCCCTCGCCGCCGCAACAAAGCGCGGAAGTGGCCGCCGCCGCTCGCGCGCTCCGCCCGGAAGCCGCCCCGGCAGTTGCCGTGGCAACGGCCGCTTCCGGGGACGCTTTCCAGAGCCGCCAAGGATAGGGAGCGCAAAGGGGAGGCGGGCTCGAGGCGTGACACATAGGCACTTCGGGTTCCCAGTGGGTGGTCCGTGAGGGGGAAAAAAAAACGAACTGCCGTCCTAAATGAACCGGACGTTTCCGTTGCAATGGGGAGAGGAAGAGAGAACGCCTTGGGCCGAGCCGCTGCGGGGGAGGGGGGGGGACACAGGTTGCAATTCGAGTGGGAGGGCAACGGGGGCCGCGAATGGGCCCATGCACGGGCCCGCCAGCCTGGTTTGCCAGGCGGGAGAGTAGCCTACTCCTGGTTTGCTACTTGTAGGGTCGAGTTGCCTGCAGAAGCCACGATGGGCAGATCATAGTTAGCTTAGCATCCTTGCCTAAAGAAGCCCCCGTTTCTTTATGGGGTCCCACGACACACAAAAGCTGGGTTTGGATCCACGGGTACCTTGTGCCAAGCCGAGTTCGCAAGAAATGCTAAGCACGGATGGAGAGTTTGCCCAGACCAAGCATTGACAGTTAAATCTCAGTTTGCCTGGGGTTCACCTTCGGCAAGGTTTGAGTTCCCAGGACCTGCTAAGCAATCCTAGGCTCCACTTAATGCAGAAAACGCAAACCTGCCTCTAGTGTCTCGTATGCACGGATCTGCACATTGCCCGCATGAGAGTTTGCTGTGGGTTTGCCTTGTGCAAGCTTGAATTCCCAAGAAATTCCCAGTTTTGGTCACCACGATCATGTAAAAAAAGATGTTGAGACTCTAGAAAAAGTGCAGAGAAGAGCAACCAGGATGATGAGGGGACTGGAGGCTCAAACATACTATGAACAGTTGCAGGAACTGGGCCTGCTAGTCTAGTGAAGAGAAGAGAAGAGAAGGACCAGGGGAGACATGATAGCATCTTCCAATACTTGAGGGGCTGCCACAGAGAGGAGGAAGGGGGTCAACCTGTTTTCCAAGGGACTGGAAGGTCAGACAAGGACCAATGGATGGAAACTGAACAAGGAGAGATTCAACCTGGAAATAAGGAGAAACTTTCTGACAGTGAGAACAATCAACCCATGGAACAGAAGTTGCCTTCGGAAGTTGTAGAAGCTTCATCACTGGAAGCTTTCAAGAAGAGACTGGACTGCCAACGGTGTTTTTTTGGGGGGGGGTTGGACTAGATGACCTGCAAGGTCCCTTCCAACTCTGTTAGTCTGTAAATAAGCCGTATCCTGAATAACGGGAAGGGAGCTTCCTATCATCTTCTCGGCTGTCCTTACCACTCTCTGTAGGAACTTTCTATCAGAGGCGCAAAGCCGAATTTCCCCGGGTGCCAGCTCCCATTCCCAAGAAACGCTAGGCACGGGTTCACGCCAAGCCATGAGAGTCCTATCTGGATCGGCCACGGGTTCGGCCTTCCGCAAGGCTGGCGTTCCCACCACCACCTGCTAGGCAAGGCTGGCTGCGGGAAGCGCAAAGGACGGGCTGGGCGGAGGCGTTCCCACGTGCACTGGGGAGAGCGGGGGCGCCCCCAGCCCTGCCCAGCATCGGAGGCGGAGCGCGGCGGAGGCTGGCTGGCTGGAGGCGCCGCCCGGTCGGTCGACGGGCGAGCCGCTGCGCAGAGCCGGGCTGGAGGAGGATGGCGGAGGCGGCGGCGGCGGCGGCACCGGTGCAGATCCGGGTGGCCGAAGCGGAGGACGCCGAGCCGCGGTGGGCGAGCCCGCCGGGCGGCGGCAGCTGCAGCGAAGACGATTCCGGCCGGGGCTGCGGCGGTTTTGGAGGGGGCAAATCCAGGTAAGGGGCGAAGCTTTTGCACGGAGAGGGCGGCGACCCCAGGGACTAGCGCCTTGCTCTCGTTTTGCCCCCGGGGGTGCCCGGCGGGGAGGGGGAAGTCCTGGGAGGCGGGGATCCCCTCTTGCTCCGCCATAAGGGGAGATTCCCCCCCCAAGAGCCCCCCTACTGCAAAAAAGGAGGAGGGGGAGATACTGAAAAGTGGGGAGAAGCTGCAGCCCTGAAAGCGACGGTCGAGCATGGGCTGCGGGGCTGCCAGGAGGAAAAACGGGGTGCATGAGGCATCCGTGGGGAGGGGTCTGCTTTGATGCCCGAGGGCTGCGGGACGAGGGTCGTCCTGAGTTTGCCAGGCTGGGCAGGACCCTGCTCTCTCCTGACGGGATTTGCTGGAGAAAGTCCCAAGGGACCTCCCGCCAATAAAAAGCTTGGGGGGGGGGGCTTTCCTCACCTTGTGGTCCCCTCTCCGACCCGTTTTGGAGCCCCTCCTGGCACTGACTGAGTCTGGGGTTTTTTCCAGCTCTGCGGGGGAGATCTCCATCAGAGGGGGCTGCCTTAGCCAGGGGTCCCTGCCTGGTCCCGAGCAAGAGCCCCACAAAGTTGGATTAACCTAGTTTGTTTGTAGTCAAACCACCTTTCCCCCCATACTGTGAAGGAAGCTGGGCGAAGGCTTCCCAGCTGCTGGTACCTCCAGCTTCATCCTAGCAGATTTTGAAACGCTGGGTTGGGTCAAAGTGGATCAGTGTTTGGAAGAGAGACCACCAAGGAATCAGAGGGAGGGTACATTTTTTAAAAAAAAGAAAAAAAAAGGACCCCCATCCTGTGCCCCATGGTAGCTCAGCAGGCTACATGGAGAAGTGTGTAAGCTCTGCACCTGAACCTGGCTGTGAGATAGAGGTAGCCCCTGATTCATTTAGTGGCCAAAGTTACAAAGGCTTCGGAAAGGATGACTTTATACCAATCTTGGTATCATCCATCCATCCATCCCTCTCTCCCTCCCTCCCTCTCCCCTCTTTCTGTATCTATATATCACCTTATCTATCTATCTATCTATCTATCTATCTATCCATCCATCCATCCATCCATCCATCCATCCATCCATCCCTCTCTCCCTCCTTCCCTCCCCCCTCTCTCTGTATCTATATATCATCTTATCTATCTATCCATCCATCCATCCATCCAATCCCAGTATCTATATATCATCTTATCTATCTATCCATCTATCTATCTATCTATCTATCTATCTATCCATCCATCCATCCATCCATCCATCCATCCATCCATCCAATCCCAGTATCTATATATCATCTTATCTATCTATCCATCTATCTATCTATCTATCTATCTATCTATCTATCTATCTATCTATCTATCCATCCATCCATCCATCCATCCATCCATCCATCCATCCAATCCCAGTATCTATATATCATCTAATCTATTTATCTATTTGTCTGTCTGTCTGTCTTGGGAAGCAATGGCTGGGGTCTGGCTGGGGTCTGGACTGAAAAGACCGGTGCTTCCCTGCTCTTAGGAAACCAACAGGCCCCTCCAGGCAGATGGATGTCTGTCTTGGCACCTTTGTTTCCAGCCCAGCCATTTCTAGGATATGTGTGTGTGGGGAGGGGGGTATTTTCTCCAGGGGGTGATGGATGGCCAGGGAAGATGGGGTGCTGAGCATCTCCATGTCGTTGTCAGGAAAAAAAACAAACCCAAGGAAGAGCTGGCTGATTCTTCGCCCCCCTCTTTGCAAGGTGGAGAAAAGATTTGCGTTACAGCCGATTTATCTGCCTGCAATCCTGCTGGAAAAATCCTCTGGCTTTTGTCATTTTAGTATCTCTTCCTTGTTTAAAAGCTGGGAAAGGAGAGGGTTTTTTCCGCCTGAGCGCAGCAGGGATGGAGGAAGAAGGGGCCAGGGTGGGCCGCCTTTCCTCCCCCCTCCAGGCTCCCCCCTCTCACATCCCCAAGCAAAGCCCACGTGGGCACCCTGTGCCAAGGCTGGGCCGGGGAGGAGAGCAGCATTGCTCGCCTGTTGCAAAGACGGCCGGATGTTGCAACAACCATTCTGGCCCCCTCCTCTCCCTCCTGGGCCAGATGCTGGGCAGGCAGCCGGGAAGGAGGGTCCCGTTCCCACCCACCCCTAGTCCTAGGGCGTGGGGGAAGCCATGCCGGGAAGGGGCTCTCCTGCTGACTTGGCACTGGGGCAGGCAGGAGGCGCTTCAGCTGCAGAAGAACCTCTGTAATCTGATGCTGGGGAGGAGCACAGCTGCCTTGCCCCACATCTGGTTCTCGGCAAAGCTTCCCCAGCTCAACAACCGTCTGTCTGAGTCAACTGCTGCTCTGGAATTTTATTCTGGGGAGGGGGAGATGGACATTTCCCTTCTTTAAGCTGAACCTGGTGGGTTCCCCCCACTCCCAAACTCCCCAGCCAGCGTTTCTCATTCTTGGATAATTTAAGGGCTGGGAGATTCTGGGAGTTGAATTCCACCCTTCTTAAAAGAGGTCAAGTGTGACAAGTACCCATATTTTTCGGAGTAAAAGACACACCTTAGTTTTTGGGGAGGAAAATAAGAAAAAAGCTGATTGGCGGGTGGATTGGCCTCCCCGGAATACGCCCAATCAGCTGTTCCCAGAGGTGAATTTTAGCAACAGGTTCCTTGGTTGTGAGCTCTGTGCCTTGCTTTTTTTTGCTTTTTTTCCTGCCTCTGAAATTTCTGAAACTCGGCTTCAGAAAAAACTTCTTTTTCTGCCTCTGAAAGCCTCTGAAACAGAGCTTCAGAAAAAAAGCCTCTGAAGCTCTGTTTGGGGGCTTTTTTTCTTAAGCTTCGTTTCTGATGTTTTTTTCAGCCTCTGAAAGCTCCCTTTGAGAAGCTGGGCAGGGCTACATTCGGAGTATAAGACGCACCCAGATTTTCACCCTCTTTTTTGGGAGAAAAAGGTGGGTCTTATACTCTGAAAAATACGGTAACTAACTTCTCTGACCTTGGAGGAGTAGTAACGGGTGCTGACCAGTTAGCCTCCAGAGGCATTGCTTGGACTACAAGAGCCATAACCCCCAGCCAGCATGGGTGTGGATTATTATAACCACCGTACAAGTAGTTCTCGACTTACGATGAGAGTCGACTCCAACATTTCCACTGCTAAGTGAGACCATTGTTAAGTGAGGTTTTTGCCTCATTGTATGACCTTTCTTGCCACCGCTGTTAAATGAACATGGCTGTTAAGTGAATCAGGCTTCCCTATGGATTTTGCTGCTCAGAAGGTTGTAAACTGAGGATTACCTGTTATCCTCCCGATCGGGAGGGGTCTCTATCGTTGTTTATTTCTTTTAAATCCCTTCCCTTCCCAGATCAAAATGTTCCTTTGCAAACTTCCCACACATTAGGCACACTGTTATTTTTTAATTTTTTTTTTTTTAAGATGAACTGTTCATTGCAAAATGCAGCGATTGTTCCAAAATATTTGAGAGTTCGGGATGCCCAGAGACTTAGAACGAAGATTATTTGGATTAAAAATATAGATACATATTTGTTTTCCTGCTCACGGCTGGAAGGCCAACTGAATTGTGCAGACTCTTTTCATGCCTAACCCCCCCCCCCCCCCCCCCCCCCCGCGCCCCGTTGGAGGAATGTGCAAAGGAACAGATTCTTGGAAAGGAAAGCCACACATGCGTTTTTATTTATTTTACCAGTCCATTTTATGTAAGCTTTTCTACAGTGGTTACGGAGAAGGTGTCCACGTGGGTCAGATTTGTTTATTACTTGTTCTTTTCCTGGGCAATCCTCATCCTCTTTTTTTTTTTCTCTTTCTCCCCAGTGAGAATGACGGGGATGATTCGTCCCCTGCTTGGAAGCCCCCCGAGCGCGACCTGATCCTGAAGCTGGTGGCTCAGGTAGAATATTATTTCTCCGATGACAACCTTGAAAAAGACGCTTTCCTCCTGAAGCACATCCGACGGAACAAGAATGGGTACATCAGTGTGAAGTTGCTGACTTCGTTCAAAAAGGCAAGTACTGAGGGGGGGAGACATGGCCTGATCAGCAGCTCTGCGGCCCATGGTTTGGAGAGAAAGGGACTGTAGGAGATGACCAGGCTGAGCAGGAGGGAGGGGTCAAATGTTTCATCAGTCATGAGTCCCTGCGTGCCCACAAGAGATCCAAGTCCAGCACACCTTGAATGCCTTTCTTATCTCCCACTCATTTCCCTTGACTGTTAGTTGGCCAGATTCTTGTAGACCTCTTAAGCTTGCAATAAATTTTTGAACTGCCTGAATTCTCCTGATTTCCCAGGGATTGACAAAAAAAACCCAAAATATATTTATTGAAAATTAAGGTCCAGGAGACCAAGGTGCTCCTGTTATTATGCCAACTTTATGAAATAAAGGTTGACATGCCACTGGATTTTACAGGTTAATTTAAGTCATACAGGTAATCCTCGATTTACAGCATTCGTTTAGCAACCATTCGAAGTTATGACAGTAGTGAAAAAAGTGACGAGACTGTTTTTCACACAACCATTGGCAGCATCCCCAAAGTCACATGATCAAAACTCTGGACGCTTGGCAGCTGATTTATATTTATGACTGTTGGGAGTGTCCTGGGATCACGTGATCCCCTTTTGAGATCTTTTGATCAGCGAAGTCAACGGGGACGCCAGATTCACTTAACAACCGTTAAGTGACTTAACAACGGGAGTGGTTCATTTAACAACTGAGGCAGGGAAGATTGTAAAATGGGGCAAAATTAACGACTGCCTTGCTTAGCAACCAAAATTTTGGGCTCAAATGTGGTCGTAAGTCGAGGACTACCTGTAATTAACTGGTTGATTCTCTTTGCAGCCTTCTGTTCCTTTTTGACGCCCATCCATGGCATCCATGGATGATTCCGGCTTTTGCTCAGACATTCTCCTCTTTCTTACCAGATCAAACAGCTGACTCGGGATTGGAGAACCACAGCTTACGCTCTCAAATATTCCGACCTTCTTGAGATGAACGAAGATGGCCGCAAAGTTCGTCGAAGCGCCCCGGTTCCCGTGTTCCCGAGCGAAAACCTCCCCAGTCGAATGCTTCTGGTCTACGACATCTCCCCAACTCAAGAGCGACACCCTTTGGATGAAGGCCAGGAGAACGGAGAAGTCCGGGAGAAGGTCATGGAGCATCTCCTCAAGGCCTTCATCCAGTTCGGGGTCATCATGTCTGTCCGGATTCTCAAACCCGGGAGGGACCTTCCGCCGGATATCAAGAAGTTCAGTGGCCGTTACAGCCCGGTGGGAACTCAAGAATGCGCCATTGTTGAGTTCGAAGAAGTGGAAGCTGCTGTCAAAGCCCACGAGTCGTTCTGCATCACGGACAAAGCCGCCATGAAGGTCATCCTCATTGGGACGAAGCCTCCAAAGAAGAAAGTCCTGAAGGAGAAGAACCAGGAGAAAAGCTCCGCCAAGGATCCGGCCAAGAGCCGTTCGATGAACAGGAGAGTTGAGGAGCTTCAAGACGTAGGCGAAGACTTGTCGGCCAACAGCTCCTCGGATCCAGAGAGCGACCCGACGTCTCCCATGCCGAGGAGAAGCAGCTCCTCCAACAGACTGAGTCCTTCGGCCTACCCGAACCATCACCTGAGCCCAAACGTGTCTCCGAGGTCGAGTCCCTGGAACAGCCCTTCCTCCCTGCGCAAAACGTCCAGGATGTCTCCGTTGGCAGAGGATGGAAGAGCCTTTCTCAGCACCAGTCCCGAGACTGGCTCCAAACGGTCAGCGGATTACTCTTCGGACAGTAGCATCACTCCTTCAAGCAGCCCCTGGGTTCAACGCCGCCGGCAAGCTCGGACTCTGGCCCGGGAGAAGACCCCTGTGGGTAGCCCGGAGCCCAGCGTCAAAATAGCCGCCCCTGCTGGACTGCGCGTCGGGATCTTGCGTTTGCCCAGGGGGCCGGATGGAACGAAGGGCTTTCATAACAGCCACGAACGGAGCAACGTCGCCAAGAATGCATAAACTCTGTTTTAGAGCGATCCTTGGTGCTCTCTTAAGTTTGGTTGCTGTGGTAGCCCTGATGATGTTCCCTAGTTGGGTCATGAAAAGTCTGCAAGAAAACCACCAAGCTCAGAGAGACTAAAGATCCCATAGTCTTCCTCCTCCTCCTCCTTCTCTTCTCCTCCTCCTTCTCTTCTCCTTCTCCTTTTTCTTCTTCTTCTTCCTCCTCCTCCTCCTCCTCTTCTCCTTCTCTTCTCCTTCTTCTCCTTCCTCTCCTTCTTCCTCCTTTTTCTTCTTCTTCCTCCTCTCCTCTCTTTCTCCTCCTCCTTCTCTTCTCCTCCTTCTTCTTCTCCTCCTCCTTTTTTTTTCCTCCTCCTCCTCCTCCTCCTCCTCTTCTCCTTCTCCTTCTCTTCTCCTTCTCCTTCTCCTTCTTCCTTCTTCCTCCTCCTCTCCTCTTCTTTTAGTACTGATGGCATTACCTAGTTGGGTCATGAAACGTCTTCAAGAGAACCGCCAAGCTCAGAGAGCACCAAGGAGACCCTCATTTCAGCCCTGAGCTACGAATATTCTCCTTTATTAAGTTCTGTTTTTATTCACGTTGCATCGTCTCCCATCGATGAACTCATTGCATGCAGGATACATGCAGTCCTTAACTTACGGCCGTTCATTTAGCGACCGTTCGAAGTTATGACGGTGCAGAAAAAAAATGACTTAAGAGCAGTCCTCGTAGTTACAACTGTTTCAGTGTCCCACGGTCACATAATTGAGATTTGAGCACTTGTGGCACCCCAGGGGTCCCTGGGGACCTTTCCTGGGGGCTTCCGACAAGCCAAGTCATGGGGGAAGCCAGATGCATGCAATGACCATGTGATTCGCTTAATAACGATGACAAAGACCATAGTCATGCATGTTCAACATGATGACTCACTTAATAACTGCATTGCTTAGGAACAGAAGTTCCAGTCCCATTTTCAGTCGTAAGATGAGGACTACCTATATATCCTCAAAGCCTTGGCACAAGAACCGTCCTTTTATTTTTCAACAAAAGCTTTTGTATCTCCGTTGCGTCACAGGTGTTGTCCGAAGCCTCCTTGTCTGCCCTTTAAAAGTTGAATTATTACTGCTATTTTTAATGCCAGCCGTTGACAAGCCTTTTAAGCTTTTATTTTATCAATGTCTGTTTTGAAAAACGTCTTTGTGCAAATATATTTAGCCAGGGCAGTCAGCCGAGTTGGCTTTGTTCCACCAGCGATGGTTGACGTTCTTCGCTCTTGTTCTCCTCCGTTATGAGGAGATTGTGACGTTCTGGGTGTTTTGTCTTGTGTCGGGAAATCCAAAACCCAGGCAGGGAGGGCATTTCGGGTGGCATGAAATAAATAACACCTGCGCTTCAAACAGTCTCTCAATTTGGATGGACTGAAGTGTCACATATTCTGGTAGTGGAGTTGAGGGGTCCGTGATGATTGGGGTTAGCTTTCTTTAAAAAGAGACCAAATGAGCAGGGAAAGTTGGCCAGGGTGGGGGGGAAACCTCCCCCAATCCACACCTGGTGAATGGTTTTATTCCAGGAGAGTCATCTTCCATGTGAGCCTGAGGGAGGGAAGGAGGAGAGGAGAAAGGGAAAGGAAGGAAGAATGAAAACAGGGAAAGGAGGAGGGAAAGGAATGAAAACAAAGGAAAGGAGAATGAAAACAAAGGGAAGAGAAAGGAAAGGAAAGGAAAGGAAGGGAATGAAAGGGAAAGGAAAGGAAAGAAAGGGAAATGAATGAAAACAAAGGGAAGAGAAGGGAAGGGAAAGGAATGAAAACAAAAGGAAAGGAGAATGAAAACAAAGGGAAGAGAAAGGAAAGGAAAGGAAGGGAAGGAAAGGGAAGGAAAAGGAAAGAAAGGGAAATGAATGAAAACAAAGGGAAGGGAAGGGAAGGGAAGGGAATGAAAACAAAGGAAAGGAGAATGAAAACAAAGGGAGGAGAAGGGAAAGGAAAAGGAAAGGAAGGGAATGAAAACAAAGGAAAGAAAGGGAATGAAAACAAAGGGAAAGGAAGGGAAGGGAAAGGAATGAAAACAGGAAAGGAAAGGAGAATGAAAACAAAGGGAAGAGAAGGGAAGGGAAAGGAAAAAGGAAGGAAAGGAAAGAGAAACACCCCATGGAAAATGGTAGAATTCAGGTTTCTTCAATCATTTAGATTTAATAAATGTGTGCTTTAGTAGAAATATACACCCCTCCCCCACCCACCCAGCCTATGATGGTAAATATCTCATGCCACAATGGTTAGGCAGCTCTAGGTACATTCCATTGTGAGATCACTGCTCTTAGCAATGGGGTGGACATACACTTACACATCCACACAGCATCCCAATTCAAATATAGGGCCGGCCAAGGGCCAGTTTGGATACAAGATGGCTTACTGCTGCTACAGGTTAAGAGTTGCGTCTGTTGGGGGGGGGGCTTATCACATGGCTGGCTGGGGGATTCTGGGAGTTGAAGCCGACAAGTCTTAAACGCTGCCACAGTTGGAGACCCCTGCCGACGTCCAGCGAATGTGTTGAGCTCGCTGATGATTCCACGTGTTGTGGGAACGCAGAAAATGGCTTAATTTGCCAAGATATGAAACCTGAAATTGGCCAGGTTTCATATCTTGGCAAATTCAGCCTTTGGGTGGGCTGGGTGGAATCACGATTGGGATTTCATGTTAGATTTTTGAGTTGGTAGGATTGTCCGTATTGATTGATTTTGGTGAAAAAGAAAGGGAGTTTAATAGTCATGGACCTTTGGGGTTTTGTCGTTTTGTTTCTTGTAGACCACTTGTTCCTCCTTACGCCATTGCTCCTGACTACTACGGTGATAGACCTCTGTATCTCTATTTTCCCAGTCCTGTAAGTCTGGCCTTTCCACCTTCTTGGGGGGTTGATTTCTTGAACCTGTAGAAGCAGCCGAGCAGTCTTCCTCAACTCTAGATCCCTTGGATCTCAACTCCCAGAATTCTCAACTCACATTGGTTAAGAGTGATGGGAGATGGACACCTCTGAAGCTCCAGATTGGAGAAGATTGTTCCAAGTCTAGATGACTCGACAACACTGGGAAGATTCAACTATATTGGGCTAAATATTAGATCGGTGTTTCTCAACCTTGGCCACTTGAAAATGGGTGGACGTCAACTTCCAGAATTCCCCAACCAGCCATGACTTCAAGATGTGTTGATGTCCACACATGTCCCAAGAGGCAAAAGTTGAGAAACACTGCATTAGAAACCAAACACGATTGAGTTGGAGAACAAGGCTGCCTCTGCGGAAGTAGAGAGAGGCTCTCTTTCTAGGATGTTGTAGCTGCAAGGGTTCTGCCTTGAGCAGAAGTTTGGACGTAGAATGATCTTCAACAGCCCATGTTTTGCACCACATTGTAACTAACCATGGCTCTGAGACGTCATTTTATTTGACCTGGTTCTGGTATGGAGGATCCAAACATGAACCCAGTATTGTTACAAGGTAATGCTTTACCAAGGGACACGGTGGCTCAACAGCTAAGACGCTGAGCTTGTCGATCGAAAGGTTGGCAGTTCAGCGGTTCGAATCCCTAGTGCCGCATAACGGGGTGAGCTCCCGTTACTTGTCCCAGCTTCTGCCAACCTAGCAGCTCGAAAGCAAGTAAAAAATCCAAGTAGAAAAATAGGGACCACCTTTGGTGGGAAGGTGACAGCGTTCCGAGCGCCTTTGGCGTTGAGTCATGCCGGCCACATGACCACAGAGACGCCTTCGGGCAGCACTAGCTCTTTGGCTTTGAAATGGAGATGAGCACCACCCCCTAGAGTCAGGAATGACTAGCACATATGTACAAGGGGAACCTTTACCTTTAATGCTTTACCCCATCTCATTTCATGATGGGTGGATGGATTTAAACAGAAGCAGAAGAATCTTTGAAGGACTTCTTCAAAGCTTGGGCTGTCCCACCAGGATTATTCAATGAGGAAGCACCAAAACTGTCCACTTTGGTGCCTGTTTCTCTTATTTAAGCAACTCTCTCTTAAAAATGGCCCTTCCTCCAACACAAGGGAGTTAATTTATTTTCTTCTCCTCGAGATTGTAGACCACCACGGGTACATGAGAGAAGCGATCAAACAACGGGGAGCAATGATCATAGATAGGACTCAGGAGACAGGTAAAAACCACAGTGGGAGGTTAATGCCAGATCCATTATGGTTGTAAGTCAAGGACTACCTAGATGGATCCATAGAAAAATTTTGGGATTCTCCCTTTCAGGACCTGGCCCTGCCTGGGAACAAAAGTGGATTAATTACGTCAAAGTGATCAACTCCATCAATCCTTGGAGAGCGGCTGGGAAACCATTCGGTCAGTGACGGTGGCTTCTTCCTCCGTGTCTCCCATCTGTTGAGGGTCCTTTAGCAGGTTCTTCATCACTCATGGGTGGGAAGACACCTTCTGCTAAACCCTGGCTTCACTACAGCTTGGTGAGAAGGCCCCAGTCATGGCTCTAAGCCAGCGCTCTCTCCAAACTTGATAACTGTAAGACTTGTGGACTTCGACTCCCAGAATCCCTCAGCCAGCTTTAAGACTTGTGGACTTTTAACTCCCAGAATTCCTGAGCCGGCCATGCTGACTGAGGAATTCTGGGAGTCGAAGTCCATAAGTCTTCAAGTTGCCACGTTTGGAGAGCCCTGCTCTAAACCACCATAGCTAGCTTCGTTTGAGGTGTGAACCCAAACAGATTATTTTATGGCTACGCACCAGGTATAACACCCAGCTGTTTTTTCTCATCTTTCTCTTTTTGTATTAACTGATGAATGTATGCCTTGCTTTTCTTGTTTCTGCCAAATTTTAAGCTTAGGATGACCACCCTGTTCAAAGACAGCTTGCAAAGTATAGCCAGGATTCACCGAACCATGATTAGGCATCCACAAAGGCAGCTCTGGTTTAGCCTCAGCTTTGGGTGAATCGACCTACTTCCCACCTACCCAATTGGACACATTTTTGTTATACCCCCTTCGCCCCCCCAAATAATAATTAGGGTGCAGAGCAGCCTTATCTCGTACTGTTCAGAGTCATCAATATGATAATCATCACAGGGGTGAAATCCAGCTGGTTGCAACCGGTTCTGAAGAACCGGTAGCGGAAATTTTGAGCAGTTCAGAGAACCTGCAAATACCACTTCTGGCTGGCCCCCGAGTGGGGTGGGAATGGGGATTTTGCAATATTCTTCCCCTGCCACAGCCACCAAGCCACACCACGCCCACCAAGTCACGCCCACAGAACCGGTAGTAAGAAAATTTGGATATCACCACTGAATCATCATCATCATCATATTCCGTCGCTGTTAGGAAACACCATCTTGTTTTGTAGGAATCCCGACATTTGGGGATACAGGTAGTCCTCATCTTATGACTCTACATTTAGCGACTGTCCAAAATCACAGCAGTGCTTTAAAAAAGGGACTTATGACTGGTCCTCGCACTTATGACCATCGCAGCACCCGTCCCACAATTGCAATTCGAACAAGAGTTGCATGTGATCTTCCTTTGTGACCTTCCCAGGGGGCTGAGACAAGAAGCCAGTTTCATTTAGTGACCAAGTGATTCACTTAACAACCAGGGGGGAAAAAAGCTTATAAAATTGGGTACGGTTGATATAACGGCTCACTTAAGGATTGCATTGCTTAGCAGCAAAAGTTCCGGCCTCAATTATGGTCATAACTCAAGGACTACCCCTATTTTCTATCGATTCTAGCTTCTTGGCCCTTGCCTGTTATCATTCTCTTTGGCCCTTTGCAGTGTGCGACCGCCTCTGGCTCTGGACTTCCTGAAAAGCGAGGGAAGGAAGGAAGGAAAGAAAAAAAGAAAGAAAGAAAGAAAGAAAATCCACCGGAATCTCCTGTAAACCTTTGGAGACTTTTATTAAATTTGCCAGTTCCCAGGTGACCCCAGCAGGCCGGGCTAAATGGAGGCCAGCTTTTCTCTTTGAAAACTTCGGAGGGGGGCGGCAGGGGGATTGAGGGGGTGGGGAGGCAAAACCTGGAAGGTGTTGGAGGAAAACCCCAACTTTTAAAGGGAGGGGGAGGAGACATTCAGAATTGGGGACCGTTTAATTCCATATATTGTGTTATTTTTTTCCCCATAGATTTATTTTCTGTATCATAAAACGTCCCAGAAAACTTTTTAAAAATTGTATTAAATGGAAAAGTAACAATATGGGAGCTAGCAGAAGTGATAAAAAGACAGAAAAAACGATGAAACTCCAGGCCCAGCAGAATTTTTAGAATTGGGGACCGTTAAGGATCCGTCTCTCCATCTTCCCTTCGGAATCCAGAGGCTGCTCGGATATGAAGCACGGAAGTGGGATCAAGCTTCTTGGGGCAGGAGGAGGGGGGGGTTAAATTCTCATTTTATGGATATTGTAGTCTTTCTTAGTACCGCAAAAAGATACACACACACACACACACACACACACACCCTTGTCTTAAGGTTTAAGAGAGCTACCAAGCCTCCAACAGCTCCTCTTTGCCCCGGAGAATCAGAGACAAAACCGAGCTGATATTTGAGCCAAGCACCCAAATTTTGATCACATGACCGTGGGGAATGCTACGACGGTCGTAAGAACGAGGAACAGTCTTAAGTACGAATAGTCCTCGACTTAACAACAGTTCATTTAGGGACCGTTCCAAGTTTCAACAGGACTGAAAAAAGCAACATGTCCTTTTTTCACACTTAACGACCGACGCAGCCTCCCCACAGTCACATGATCAAAATTCAGGCTCTTGGCAAACTGCAAGGGAGGCCTGCTATGCCCAAAACGGGGCTTGGGGATGTGTGGCCCGCCTCCCCCAGCCCGTTTCTGAGCCCAGGAGGCTGCAGGGAGGCTTGCTAGGCCAAAAACGTGGGGTGGGGGGAGTTGGGCGCACATGCGTGGGGACGGACGGATGCCGCATTGCATTATGGGTGCCGGCACACAACGAGAAAAAGCTTAGCCATCACTGCCCTAATCACTTAACAGATGTGGGGCTAACTTAACAATGGCAATGATTCGCTGAACAGCGAAGTCGTAAAAGGGAACAAAAGTCCACCAATGTCTCACTTAGCAACCTAAACTTTGGGCACAATTGTGGCCGTAACTCGAGGACCGCCTGTCCATTTCCGGTGCCGTTGTAACTTTGAACAGTTCCTGAAGGGACAGTTGTAAGTTGAGGACCCTCCGTGTAGATCCAACTGACAAAGCCAATCAAAACCCTCCTCGAATCCTACAACGGGCGTCCTGGTGCTCTCAACGAAGTTCCTCCAGCAGGACCGACTTCAGCGTCTGCCATCGCTCCTTCAGCTTCGACTTCGTGTGGCCGCAGGCAAAGACGTGGTCAATGGCCTCGGAGGAGAGCGCCCAGATTTGCTCGTCGGATAACTGGAAGGTCTCGGCCACCAGCTGGTACTCCCTGGACAACTCGGTGGCAAAAACGCCTTTATCGTCCGTCTGGGAAGGAGACAAAACCACGAGAAGCAAGAGGCTCCTTCCTGCTTTGGGGTTTCAGAAAAGGTGGCTTAGCAAAGCCAACGTCTAAAGGAGGAGACTCCAGGTAAGCTCAGGGTGGACACGAGGGGTCCTTGGTGTTCCCTGAGCTTGTGGGTTTTCCTTGCAGCCATTTCACGACCCAACTGGGGAACATCATCAGTGCTGGGAGGGAGTGTGGAGAAAAGGGGGAGGAGAAGAAGAGGAGAGGAGGTAAAGAGAAGGAGAGCAGGAGGAGGACAATGACTGTGGGCTCCTTGGTGCTCTCTGAGTTTGGTGGTTTTCTTGCAGACGTTTCACCACCCAGCTGGGGAACATCATCAGTGCCAGAAGGGAGTGAGGTTTGTGATACGAAGGAGGAGGATTGGGATGATTGTCCTGCAGACGTTTCATTACCCAACCAGGTAACAATATCAATGCTAGAAGGGAAAGGGGTTTACAGAGAGGAGGAGGAGGAGGAGGAGAACTGTGGGGTCTTTAGAGCTTGGTTGTTTTCCTGTAGACATTTCACGACCCAAAATAAGTAACATCGCCAGAGTTAGTCAATGCTTGTCTTCACTAGCCCTGATAATGTTTCCTAATTTGGGCCATGAAACTTCTGCAAGAGAGCAACCAGGCTCAGAGAGTGCCAAGGAGCCCTCAAGCAAACTTCTGGCTTTTTTTAAAGGACTGGATGAATTTAGACAGCCATGCGGGGCCCCTAGCATTTAGAAAGAAGGCCCTGCTTTGTCCCCAGGAAAATCCAAAGCCCCTTACACAGAGGACCACGGGATGACCCAGGCGGTACCAGAATCCAAAATGGTGTTGAGCCTTGGAGGGCACCGTCTCGGCTTTCAGGTTGGACGTCAGGCAGAGTTCTGGGGGGGCAAACAGGAATAGTATGAAGCCAACTCACAAAAACTGGTGGGGTAAAACATCAAAGCTAGTTTAGTTCATTGCTTCTCAACTTTAGCAGTTTTCAGAGGGATGGACTTCAACTCCCAGAATTCCCCAGCCAGCACGCCAGCGTTTCAAACTTAAAAGGACCCACCTACTCATTCCTAATAGTGCTTTTCTTAGCACAGAACATCAGACTGCCCAGGACAAGTGGTGGATTCCAGTTCCATCATCCCCAGCCGACCCACCACTCATTGCCCAGCTTCGGTCCCAAATCCTTCCTTGCCTAAAGGTATCCTGTTTCGCCTCACGAGGTCCACCAGATCCTGTGTGGCCAATTCTGATGTTTGAAGAAACGTCCCGTGTCCGATTCGGTCCGGGCAAAGACCCAGAAGCAGCCGGGTTTCGTCCTCCTGATTTGGGATCTGGAAATAAAGACGTGTTGTGGGGTTTCATGAGCCAGCTAGGTAACATCTTCAGTGCTAGGCAGTGTGTGACTTACTCCTTGCCTTCTTCGAGATCTTCTACTTCTCAGTCTAGTCCACCAACTAGAAGATGCCCTGGTGACCTCTCTCCATGTACACATGTGATTCTATCAAGCGCAGAGCTTTCTCGGGGAGACCAGTCCAGGATGATCACTATCATACTGTACACAAAAACTACACAACTGACTCACACACAAGGCAAAAGCAGCTGGAATTCACACAAAATGCCCCTACAACAAGCAGGAACCTCACAGAGTCACAGAGAGCTCAAAAACAAACTATCACACTTTATACAAAAATACCGGTTTGGGCAATAGGTAGTTTAAAAATGATTTAAAAAATAAAAAATAAGTTCCCATCATCCCACACCACAGCTGATGGTCAGAACCTTTTTTTAAAAAAATTTTTTAGCATTTTTTTTACTACCTATTACCCAAACTGGTAGTAAAAAAATGCTTTAAAAAGTTTTTTAAAAGTTCAGATGATCAGCTGCACGATCGTGGGAACTTTTTTTTTACTTTTTAAAGATTTTTTTTTTTTTACTACCACTTCGCCCGAACCAGTAGCTCAAACCCATTTAATGAACCTTCTCGCCACAAACCCAGACGAATGCTCAGCCAGCATCCAAGCGTTACCTCTGAAAGATGCAACGTCAGCTTCAAACCAGCTTTCTTGGCTTCCAGAAGAGGCTCCAAGAAATCCTGGCCGTGTCCCACCTTCAAGATAGAAAAATGATAGCAAATACAGTCCCATAAAATAATTACCTGACACACCCATTAAAAAAAAAAAACCCACCCATACCTTAAGAGTCTACTTTCTGAGAAAGCTTACTTTCGGATTTCCACTGAGGTCCAGACCAAGGACCACACCATCACTGGAGAGCAAAAAATCTCCCGCCAACTTCACGATTTCCTTGGCAGCAACTGCCCCCTTGCTTCTGTCCACCGATACGAGAAACCTGGAATGTATAAAACTCCCTGGGAACTAGGGAAGCCAAGGAATAGCACCAAGGAAGCGGGGAAGTTTTAAACTTAAAAAACTGAAATGATTTCTGAATATTTCAGAGGGTTAGGGCCTTCGAGGGCATTTTGGATGGACGATGAAAAGTTAAATGGAGACGAAAAACAATGCACAGATTTCCCTGCTGGAAAAGAAACAGGGAGATTGGGGTCCATCCAGTCTCTGCTGGGAATTTGGTGTTACAAACTGGTAGAACTTGGCATCCTGTAGTAAGCCAGAGGTCTTCAAACTTGACAGCTTTAAAACTTGTGGACTTCAACTCCCAGAATATGAGCATAGCTGGCTGGAGAGTTCTGGGAGTTGAAGTCCACAAGTCTTAAAGCTGCCAAGTTTGAAGACCTCTGTGGTAAGCTATGATTCAGCCATAGTCCCTGAAAAAAACCCATCCTGGGTTCACTCACCACCCCAAACAAGCAATTTTGCAATGTGAAACTGGACTCTTGAGAACTCAGAATCACGGAGGGCCTAACGTACCTTACATCTATATCCAATCCCTCTTCCTGACACTGCTTGATGCCCTCAAGGACAGCTTCCACGTATGTTCGTTTGGTCATGCCTGCAAATGAGGGAAAACAGAGATCATTTATCCAGCTGCAAACAAGGAATACATTCAAGATTTTTTTTCTCGGCCAGCTTGTTTTGAGATATAATTGGGCTACCAGGCCATCTCGTCAACCATCTGGAGATGGTTTCCTTCAAAACCAGCCCAACTTTGCTGAGATGACGTTTCAGGAAGAGGAAAGTTACCTGAACTTTTCTCCTCCCTGGGCGTGCTCCTTAATTCGAGATATTTGACTCCATCTGCAGCAAATTCCCGAATAACATCTTTGGTTACCTAAAAAAATAAACAAAAAAAGGCCAGGGATGGATTTGAAGAAGCCTACCACACCAGATTTGAGGCGAAGCTAAAAAAGGTCTTACCTTCAGCTACATCCAATTGGTATATTTTTCTCAAACTTGGCAGCGTTAAGATGGGTGTTAAAGCTGGCAAGGTTGAGAAAACACTGATCTAGTCTCTCCAATAAGCATAGAAATATACAGGTAGTCCTCCACCAATGGTGAAATCCAAATTTTTTTACTACTGGTTCTGTCCCTGTGATCTGGGTTCAAAATAACTTACCATTAATATATCTTCAGGTCTGCTGGTCATCTGGTGTATGAACTGGAACATCTGGAAACATCTGCATGGACCAGCATGTAAGAATGGTGTTAGTAAGAACCACAACAACTTGGACAAGATGGAAAAGTGTAAATATACAGCAACCAGCATATACAACAGTGTTTCTCAGCCTTGGAAGCGCTGGCTGGGGGATTCTGGGAGTTGAAGTCCACCCATCTTCAAGCTACCAAGGTTGAGAAACACTGATATACAGCCATCTTCGATTTATGGCCACAATTGAGCCCAAGATGTTTCTGTTGTTAAGCGAGACATTTGTTAAGTGAGTTTTGCTCCATTTTAAGACCTTTCTTGTTAAGTGAATCACTGCGGTTGATAAGTTAAGTGAATCTCGTTGACTTTGCTTGTCAGAAGGTCGCAAAAGGACCCCGGGAACGTTGCAACCATCATAAATATGAGTCAGTTGCCAAGCGTCTGAATTTTAATCACATGATCAGTGGTTTTAAGTGTGCAAAACAGCCATAAGTCATATTTTTCAGTGCCTTCATAACTTAACAGTCACTAAACGAACTGTTGTAGGGTTACCTGTATTTATGACGGGTGCAGCATCCTGGGGTCATATGATCATTTTTGTGACCGTCCCAGCCAGCCCTGGACAAGCAGAATCAATGGGGGGGAGAGCTGGATCTGCTTAACGACTGTGTGATTCACTTAACAACTGTGGCAAAAAGGGGCATAAAAATGTGTGACTCCCTCAACAACCGTCTTGCTTATGAATGGAAATTCTCGTCCCAAATGTGGTCATTAAGTCAAGGACCACCTATATGCTCTCCAAGGTGCCCCCTCCCCCCTGAAGCCGGACTCACTCTTCCAGGGTCCTTTTCGCCCCCTTGTCAATTGCCACCATTTCCTCTCCGATCCGAAGGTGTGGCTTCTGCGCCATCAGCTTCTTCATGGTGGCAGAGCTGATGGAGCCGTTTAAGTGGGCGTGGAGCTCCTACAACGGAAAGAGGAAAGGATTCGTCTCCTTGGAAGCACCTTGGGAAGAGAATTTGTCCCCTCCGAATCCCCGGGGACTGAGCTTTTCCCTAAAAAAAAGGCATTTAATTCTACTCAGGTGCGCAGAAAGGGAGACAGAAGAAAAAGTCTCTTTTCATCCACCTCTGAAAGATTCCTGGAGAATTAGTGAAAAATCCCAGTGAATTTTCTAGCACTGCGTTTCTCAAACTTGTTAACTTTTGGATGTATGGACTTCAACTCCCAGAATCCCCCAGCCAGCACAGCTGGCTGGGGAATTCTGGGAGTTACAGTCCATTCATCTAAAAGTTGCCATGGTTGAGAAAAATTGTTTTAGCACAGGGCTTTTCAACCGAGGCCGCTGTTAAGGTGGGTGGACTTCACCTCCCAGAATTCCTCACCCACGTTTTCAGATGCATGGGTGGACTTCAGTTCCCAGCATTCCCCAGCCAGCATTCTGAATTCTGGGAGTTGCGGTCCATTCATCTTAAAAAAATGGCCAAGGTTGAAAAAAAAATTGTTTTAGCAAGCTGCTTTTTCAACCGTGGCCGCTGTAAAGGGGACTTCAGCTCCCAGAATTCCTCAGCCAGCATGCTTTAACCTGGACTTAAACACCCAGAATCCCCCAGCCATTCTACAGGGGCCAAGCTTGAAAACCTTGCAAACAGCTGCAAACAGCTGGTGCCAAAGATCCGGCTAACTTCAGTTTCTTCTTGGGCATAGAGGTTGGCTTTAAATTTAAAAGGACCCGCGAGGCTCTTAACCATTCACACATTCACAGCCACAGGACCCTCCCGATGGCCACTGGGTTCCCCGCACATTGAAAGCAGCTGGAGGCTGGGGTCTCCCCCAGTTCCGTCCCCTTCCCTGGAGACCCCCGGCCCGCCACCCGCGGGGAAAAGCGCTCCGACGCCCAGTGCAGCTTCTGCTCCGGGGATGCAACGCGCCTGGTCGGTTCTCACCACTTTGGGCAGCCGCTGGAAGAAGCGGGGCGCCCGCCCGGTTGCAGCCGCCTCCGCCATCGCTCGCAGCTGCTTTCCCCGGGGCGGGACGGAGACGCTGCCCGCCTCTCGCGGGCGGAGCTCGGGTGCCGCTTCTGCAGCAGCCGCCCCGGGGAGGGTCCGCTTCCCATCCTCCCCAGCCAGCAGACTATCTCATCTCTGCAGCTGGGTGGGATTGCAACTCCCATCGTTCCCAGCCGGCTGGGGAGGAAGGGAACCGCCGGGCAATGCCGGTGGGGGGGGGGGGAATTCCGGTGAAGGGAAGGCTGCAGGGGCGCCCACCCCCAACCAACGGAGCCCCGGCGGGCAACGAGACAAGGCTCAAAGGGATTGAGGCTGCAGGGATCACACGACCCATGCGCCTCGCCTCCTTAGGGAATCCCCGTAAACCCCCCTTTTGGGAAGCACTGAACCGTATGCAAACAATTGCACAAGGGGCAGAACATCCAAACCAGGTTGAATTCTTGCCCAAGGTGCAAAACTTCGGAACCAGGTTGAATTTTTTGCACAAGTTACAAAACTCCCAAAACCAGGTTGCATTAACCAAGTTGGCTTGTTGCGCCACCGAAGTCAGACAGACTCGGCGGATTCGCCTTCTGCCAAGCCACTCAGCGCGTCGATGCCCCCTCCGGCCCTCGCGGGGGCGACCGAGAGCGACCGCCGAGGACTAAGAGAAAAAAAAGGAACGCCCAACAGCCCAGAAGTGGCTTTTTCCTTTCTCTCCCCGCGCAGGCGCAGAGCCGCAGCTTGCTTGCCTCGCTGCTCCGCCTCCTCCTCTCCCGTTTCCGTGGAGAGAGTGTGGGTGGGGAGGGGGCGGAGCCTGGCGCAGTCCCCGGATGAGGGCAAGATGGCGGCGGTGGGGATGGCGGCGCTGAAGCGGCTGTGCTGCGTCGCCGTTTTCCTCTCGCAGCTCTACGTCCTCTCCGGCCGGGGTGAGAAATGAGGAGGGGGGCTCGGAGGGGCTTCTTCCTCCGCTTTAATGAAAAAAGCCCGTTAATTAGGCTAATCAGGGCAGGCTCCTGAGGGGGGGGGCACTTGAGGGGGGGGGGGGGTTGGGGGGCCCGGGAGCCCCCCCGGGGGGGGTGGGGGGAGGGGGGGGGGCGGGACGTGGGGGGGGGGGGGGGGGAGTGCACTCTGCACATGTTCAAGGAAGCCTTGCTCCTCCCCAGTTGCTTCTTAATTGAGTAGGGGGGCTTCTGCCATGGGGGTGGGGGTCTCCTCTGGAGGAAGGGGTCAGGGGTCAATTCTGTCCCACTTTGGAAAAAGGGTCCTGGGTTCAAGGAGGTGGCCTAGAGGTGGAGCTCTTGCCTCACAATCAGGAGGTGGTGAGTTCCATCCTAGGTCGAGGGCAGATGTGGGGGTCTCCTGCGTGGGGGGGCGTGGGGGTTGGACTAGACCAGTGGTCACCAACTGGTGGTCCGTGAGAAAATTTTGGTGGTCCTCAGAAAAATTGTTTGCATTTTTTTATATTGCACTAAATCAGGGGTCCTCAAGCTACGGCCCCTGGGACCGATACGTGCAATGAATGTTTGTGTTGCTGCAGAGTCTCCCCCTTCGGGGTCTTTTTGTGTGGGTCGGAGGGGGGCAGAAATTCCGATTTGGGGTCTGCTTGAGTGTCCTGGTGAGGGGCTTTGGGTGAAGGCTGGAGGGAAGCACTGCTGGTGGTGAAGAGCTAGAGGACCTCATTCCAGTGGAACTGCCTCATAGCCTGGAACCGACTGACCATCTCAGCCCGCTGAGCCTCCAGGCACCAATACCTGGCCTTGCACTCCCACAGGTCTTCCCTCTTCTTGGAAAGCCTATGCTCCTAGTCCTCAGTGTGGTCCTTCTGCTGAGCCTCCTTCTTGGTCTGAATAGATTTGAAACTGAGCTGTTTTGCCAACTCTTTCTCGTGGTGGCTGCTTAGCTCCAACAACTGCTTCCTATTGAAGCCCTAAGGAGCCCGAATAGGCAGGCGATGAGTGGGGGGGAGGGGCGAGTAGAGACTGGCGATGCGCCCCTTGACGTGAGTGACATCAAGTCAGCCAAGCCCACCCAGTCACATGATCACCTAGCCACGCCCACCCAGCCAGTCATTGGTAGATCATGTTAGTGGTCCGTGGAATTTAAAATTAGGAATTTAGTGGTCCCTGAGGTCCGAAAGGTTGGTGACCCCTGGACTAGATGACCTGCAAGGTCCCTTCCAACTCTATTAATCTGTTAATCTGAAACCAGCGAAGGGACCATTGGGTGGTGCAGAATGGGCTGAAAGCATGGGGGAAAAAATAAAAATAAAAATACAGGACCAAGGACAGCAGCGTCCCAGTGCTGGTGTTTAGGATGAGTTCTGTACAAGCAGAGAACCCTCGACTTACAACAGTCCTTTGAGTGACCGCTTGCAGTTAACTATGACACTGAAAAAAAAGTGACTGAGGGTCGTTTTTCACACTTACGACGGTTGCAACATGCCCCGCGTGATCGAAATTTGGACGCTTGGCAACTGACTCGTATTTATGACGGTTGCAGTGTCCCGGGATCCTCTTTGGCAACCTTCTGACCAGCAAAGTTGTTTAAGATTCACTTAACAACTTTGCTGGTCCCTGAGAGCGTATGCACCAAAGACAAATTCCTTTGTGTGTTCAATCACACTCGGCCCATAAAGAATTCCTATTAACAACTGTGTATTAACTTCAGAATTGCAGTGATTTCCCTAATGACTGTGGCAAGAAAGATCATAAAATAGGACAAAGCTCACTTAACAAATGTATCACTTAACAATGGAAATTCTGGCCTCTATTGTAGTCATATGTCAAGGATTACCTGTAAATGTGCTTTTCTCGGGGTCCCAATGGATTTCACCCTGGGAAATTTCTAGGACGAAGACAGTCCTGCACCACAAGGTTTGCTTCGTCTCCATGAGCCTCATGTCCTCTCTGCTTTTCCAGGGTCGCTGAGCTTGGAGCATTCTCATTCACAGGCTTCGCTCACAAAAATTGCGGGGCTCCCTTCGAGCACTCACATCCCAGCATCCAAAGTGCCAGGTAGGTCATGTTTTACAATCCCATCGGATTGGTTTCGGAAGAGTTTTCGCTTTCTCAAACATTCCAGCAAAACTTTTTTTCCGTGGATATTAAAGAGCAACTGTCATCTCTGTCCTGCAGCAGCTCCTCCTCTGACCCGCTGTTGACTCACTGACAGTCCCAATATTGCAGAATATACAGCCTCGTGTTACATAACTAAGTTCCATTTCATGCTGAATAAACTAAATTATTAATGTATCTTAAATAGAAAACTATCATTAGTTTTTACTCCAAAAGCATTTTATTAAAATAAATTTGATAACAATAAAAGAAATCCAATTTAAATTTTAAAAATCCATTTTTTTAAAAAAAACAATTTTTATCCACCCTGCAGCATTGTAAAAATGTCTAAAAATTGGTTAAACAACCTTTCCCGGAAGCAAAAGTCACCCACTTCTCCCCCCCCCCCCCCCCCCGGGGAGCGACTGACCTCCAAGTAAAACTAATTCAGGGCCTTTTTATCTCTGTTAACTATTTATATTTCATATTTCTTAACCTCCCATCTCCCTCAGAGTGAGTAGTCCTATGAGTGGCTACTTGTAGAATTGCTAAAATAAGAACTATAAATACATAGTCGGATAATGGTAATGGAATTCCAAGGACTCAAAGAAGTTTCATGTGTGTTATTTTAGGGAAGATACTGAAACCTTTTTTTAAAACTAGATTTTATTTCTGCAGAGGGTACCTCAATTCCAGCTTATGTGACCCGATGCCCAAGTAATGGGATTTGTAGCCGGCTGCCTCCAGAATGTATGACCTGCAGAACAAACTATTCTTGTGTCTATGGCAAATCAGTTGCGTTTGAATGTGAAGCCAAACCCCAGGTCCATTGTGTTGTAAGTTAAAAACCTTTCTTTATAAACAAACAGGCATGACGTGAAAATACTCCATGGTGTTTACTTCAGAGAGGAATAAGTAATTACCTTAATCGATTCAAGAAAAACTGAACAGTTACTTTACCCTTCTGATTTGAAGCAGTATTTCCTTGCTGGAGGTGGAATCCGTTTACTTGAAAAATTGCAGAATTCTCAATTAGCAAAAACATCACAATTCTTTAAATGATTTTTGTTAAATAGCCTTGATTTCTATTAGGGCTGAATTCTGTTGACAGCTAAAGAGATGAAAACAGCAAGTGAGCAAAAACGTATGATTACTTTTAATCTAAATTGTTCAACCTTGGCAACTTTAAAAAAGTGTGGACTTCAATTTCCAGAATTCCCTAACCAGCCATGCTGTCTGGGGAATTCTGGGAGTTGAAGTCCAAGCCTCTTAAACTTGATTAAATTGAGAAGCACTGATCTTACCTATGGATTACACTCAGGAGGAGGATGACCTTCACTCCTTCCTTTGCAGGATCAAAGTAACAACCCTCAGAAGACGTTCTTGATTAACATGACTTGCCAATTTTGCTGGCAGCTGCCACCCTCAAACTACCTTTGCTCCAATCCTACCAACTGCAAGACAGTCTCGTGCCCACGAGAACGCTACACAGCCAATTGCACTGTGAGAGACCACATCCATTGCCTTGGTAAGCCAGACATCTCACCAGCTTGGGTAACCCGTCCTCTTTTCCTGCAGTTCCCAGTTCCTGCCTTATAAATCTTTAGCTTTGTACTCTGAAATAATGATTATTATTTTTTTGAAAGGCTGCAGCTGATGGTTTTCTTTCCTCTGGGCCCCAAATACCTGGCATACAGTATCTTTCTTGTTATGATGACAACTTTGCAGTGATAACAATGATCAGGCAATGATCAGCTTTGTTTTTCTTTTCTGCACTTTGCAATCGCACTTTATAAAGATTTTTACATCTGTTTTATTTGTTTTTTTAAGGAAATCGTACTTTTCCCAAGATGCTCTATTGCAACTGGACTGGAGGCTACAAATGGTCAACAGCCTTGGCTTTAAGGTAGGAAAAGAAGTACCAATGAAAACTTTCTCACAATTTTTAACCAGCCAAATTGGCAGGATTAGTTCTTTCAGTGTGTTGTGTTATAGAACAATACAATTAGGATTTGCAGAGTCCTTGTTTTTTGCAATACATTTATTCGCTTTGCTGCAAAAATCAATAGCCCCAGGCAGTTTCTAACCCTTTCTCATGTCGTCTTTCAGCATTACGCTCGGTGGCTTTGGTGCAGACCGGTTCTACCTGGGACAGTGGCGGGAGGGGCTGGGCAAACTCTTCAGTTTTGGTGGTCTGGGAATCTGGACGCTGATAGATGTGCTCCTGATTGGAGTTGGGTACGTGGGTCCCACAGACGGTTCACTCTACATCTAAGCATCGAGACAAAACAATCAGGTGGATCACCCCGAGAAATTCACAGATCGGACTTGAATGATCTCTCTGGAATTGCTTGCACGTCCGTTTTAATGTACAGTATCTGTACTCGGCCTGCCTTTATTTTAAGGTAAAATAAATGACTTGTGGAATGCTTGGCTGGTGTAGATTTCTTTCTGTTTTGGAGATCACCTTTATTTTTATTTTTTTGTGAAAAAAAACAGCCTACAGTACTATTCCCTTGATACATTGAACAAATTTAGGTACACCTACAGGTTGTTAAGGATGGAGTTGGCTATTTAAAATTATTTTATTACAAACCAGCATAGAGTAACAAGAGTGCCAAAATAGAGCCTATAATGGAGGCTTTGCTGATTTCCTGGCTGTGAGAAATGAAGCAAAAAATATATCTGTTATCTGGACATACAACAAGGACACAGTGGCTAAGATGCTGAGCTTGTCAATTGAAAGGTCGGCAGTTCAGCGGTTCGAATCCTTAGAGCCACGTAACGGGGTGAGCTCCTGTGAACTTGTCCCAGCTTCTGCCAACCTAGCAGTTCGAAAGCAGGTAAAAAATGCAAGTAGAAAAATAGGGACCACCTTTCTTGGGAAGGGAACAACATTCTGTACGCCTTTGGCGTTGAGTCATGCCGGCCACATGACCACGGAGACGTCTTCGGACAGCGCTGGCTCTTTGGCTTTGAAACGGAGATGAGCACCGCCCCTAGAATCTGGAACGACTAGCACATATGTGCAAGGGAAACCTTTGCCTTTTATCTCTTGTGAGGTTTTTTTTAATTGAAATGTGATGTGAATGTGCAGTATGATAAAATTGTAACTTCCAAAAGAAAGAGCTGGTTGAGACAGTACCAGGATGAATGTTCTAGTTTTATTCGGCCAAAGAGGCAAAAGCACACCACATATGCCATCCCTCAATTTAAAAGCCCCCAGCTTTGGAGAGTCTTCTGCAGCTTTCTTAGAAACTCTCCAGTGAGATAAACCAATCCAGGAAGACACAAATCTGCTTTTATTTTTTTTTCTCCTCTCAAGAAAGCAAAGTGTAAGTAAGGCATTATCAGGAACATATTTGCAAGTTCTCCAATGCAAATGTAGATGTCATACATTAGCGAGACGGCAAAATTGATAAACTCATTTTGACAGGACACCTTCCTCACAGATAGCACCCCTCCAAAAAAAAATAATAAAAAGATATGAACGTGGAAGTTTGCCTACTTTGCAACAACTTCACAAGTGTTCCTTGTAGGAACAATTTAGAATTTGAACTTGAGGGAAAGATCAGAGGCTTCCCTGCCTCTGGATATGATGGTGCCTTCAAGTCAGTGTTGACTCCTGGCAAGTCCCAGGGCAAGACCCAGCAATTTTCCTGGCAAGATTTTCAGAAATGGTTTGCCCTTGCCGCCTTCCTAGGGCTGAGAGAAAGTGGCTGGCACTAAATCCCCCTCCTAGCCCCATGTCTAAGGCAGGATTAGAACTCACCATCTCCTGGTTTCTAGCCTGATGCTTAATCACTCTGCCTTTCATCCTCTATCTATATTCTACCTTATATCTGCTTATCATATATCATCAGATAAAGTAATTGATTTGATTTTACAAAGTTGCCTATAAAAGGCGGCGGCTCAAAGTCTAAATATTTCTGTTCATGGGAAGGGAGGATATTCTGCTCCCCCGCCAATCAATAGCAGCAACCCACACTTATAAATAAATATCCACAAAAGGAATATCTTACGCTATATGACAGGGGTCTCCAAATTTGGCCAGAATTCCCCAGCCAGCCACGCTGGGAGTTGAAGTCCACAAGTTTTAAAGTGGCCAAGTTTGGAGCCCCCTTGCTCTGTGAGACTCAAGCCGTTTTCTTTGGAACTCTTGTTTTCCTTTTTTTAAAAAAAAAACATGCATGCAAACAGCCAAAAGAATCTTAAAAGTGGTTTCAATTTTGCGCTGTGTTTTAAGAGAACTGGCATCCACCATTTTTTGGTGACTGGAAATGTTGCAACCCTGGATAACGGCAAGTAATCCAAGGCTGCAATTCCACCTTTGTGGATTTCCAGAACGGTAAAGCTCACCCAACTGAATGAGGCTTAGCTCCAAGTAAACCACAATCCCTCAGGACGTGGCCAGTTTTTCTTCGTTCTTTGTTGGCGAAGACTAGAATTCTTCTTCTGCGTGTAAAGTACGGGAGGCTTTCAGATTCTGTAGTTTCTCGAGGGCCAAAGAAACCGAAACTTCTCCGTGAATTTTGTTATCCCGGGTTCGTACGTTGACAGCGTTGCCTGCTTTTTCCTTCTCTCCAACCACTGCAAAGAAACAAGGTTAGGGCAACTGTGCCTCAAAGGACCGTTAATTTTTTAGAAACCCGGAAAGCACCGAGTAACATTTAAAAGATCGCACTTTCAAGACTTATTTCAAACCATTGTCCTTTAAGGAAGTTTTAAGTAATACAAATCTAAATTTAGAGTTCTCATTTATAGATAAGTCCTTGACTTAACGACCGGTCACTTAGTGGCTGAAATTACAGACTTCAAGAAAGGTGTGAGCCATATTTATGATCAGGTTTGGTCGCTAGGCAGCCGGCCACTATTTAGGGCCATTTGTAGTGGCCTGCAGTCGCAGGATCAGAGTTTATGATAAACCAGCATTTATAAAAAAAAAAAGGGAGGGGGTTGCTTAACAACCATTATTTGCTTTTGTAACACTGCCAAAAAAGTTATAAAATTAGGCTGATCATGTGATGACTTGCTTAGCGACTGACATGACTTAAGATCATAATTCCCAGCTCAAGCTGAGAACTTACCTTATATGGTTGCAAAATATATTAATGGCATTTCTTTTTCTATGACTTGGCAAAGAGGCTTTTACATCGTGGGGATAACCTTTATTTTCGTTAACTTCTCCTAATCTGATAAGGTTATTCTCAGCCCCTCCTCCAATGGTTTCACAATTCTACCACGCTCAATCAGCAGACCGGGGACATGGGAGAGCCAGGTTAATGTTAAAAAACACATAGCATAAGATACCAAAAATGAAATTATACTGAGCCAGCTGTGCATTTCTTATCTTCTTATTCAACGTGCAGCTCTGATCCAAATCAACATCGGTCATAAATCCGGCTTCAGAAGCCTCGTTGCAGACCTAAACGTGAAGAAATACTGTTTTCATAGCCCTAGGGTTTTGCAGAAAAAGGGTATAAAATAGAGATTAAAAAAGCAACAGAACAGTTGGAAGGCACCTTGGAGGTCTTCTAGTCTAACTCTTACTCAGGTAGGAAACCTTGTACCATTTCACACAAATGGTTGCCCAGTCTCTTCTTAAACACCTTCAAGTTGGAGCACCCACAATTGAAATGTCCACAAGTACATTTGGAAGCATGGAGAACGGGGTGTTTTCCCCCTTGCAGCCATCTACAAACCCACAAATTCCTCCTCCCCTGCTCTTCCTTTCTATGGATAATCCCCGCTCTTACCTGCTGGGCATATTCTTCGCAGGTATGGCCAACGGGAACCACCATGACTTGCCGAGGGGAGAGCCAAAAAGGCCTGGAAGAGAAAAGGAACGGCCGAGGTTAACCGTTTTTAAATGTCACCGTGACACCCTACAAGAAGCTTTTTCTCCTTCCAAGATTAGCTGCCCACCATTTTCCACTGTAGTTTTCTGCCAGGATAGCCATCATCCGCTCCACGGAGCCCAGAATCGCTCGGTGGATGATTACGGGCCTTTTCTTGTCGTTGCCGTCTTTTCTGAAAAGCAAAACGAATGAAAACATTTCACCTTAGTTTTTGCTGCCTTTTTAATTTGGGTTCAATCAGTTTGTTGTGCAACGTGCCCAAATAAGGCTGGGGTTCCAGTTATTCCCTGCCACTTAGAGAGCTTTTAAGAACATCGTCATCAAATGTCTATCTAAGGACTGAAGTTTCTACTGCTCCTATCCTCCTCCTCTGCCCATTGCAAAATTCCTTCCTCCAGTCTTTCAGCTGGTACTGATGACGTTCCCTAGTTGGGTAATGAAATGTTTGCAAGAAAACCACCAAGCTCATAGATCACCACAGTCATCATTCTCCCCCTCTTCTTCATCCTCCTCCTCTTTTTCCTCCTGTTCCTTCTCCTCTTCCTCCTGCTCCTCCACTCTGCATTCCTTTCTAGCACTGATGACATTCCCTAGTTGGGTAATGAAACATCTGCAACCACCAAGCTCAGAGGGCACCAGGGACCCTCAGTCTCTCCATGCTCAACTATCAAATATAATTCTCTAATCCTTGCAGCAACACAGATGGATTGAAGGATATTCAGGAACTGCCTAAATAAGCACAGATCAAGTATCTGAACTGGTTTAATTCCTCCTCACCTCATTGCTACCTTTGCTCCATCACCTTCCCTTCCCTTCCTGTTCTAGCCTCTCTTTTAGTCTCTTGGATCACAGCCTTTTCTGCAAACCCCTCCAATTCCTCAGCTCTTCCTCGAGAGGAAGGGCTTCAGTCATGGGTCGTTGACACTTACCCAACGTAAGTCAAATTAAACCGGACGGGTAGCTGGAAGTCAAGCTGGATCGTGGCACACTGGTGGTATCGGCCAATAGCATCTTTGATTGTAATATCGATCTGCAAAAGACAAGATTAGAGTTAGGGTTAGATCTGGGACCATTTGTTTTAACAACCATTCAAAGCTACCAAAAAAAAGGTGACTCACGCTACGCTCCTCACAATTACAACTGTCATAGCATCCCTGTGGTCAAAATTCAGGCATGTATTCACAACGGTTGCAGTATCCCAGGGTCACACGATCGCCATTCGCAAGACCCCGAACGGGCTTAGAGACCCCAGAGTGGGATGAAGCCCTTCAAGTGGCTTGTTTTATTGAGTGTTGTTGCCGGGAGGGCTGTTATTGTTTTGACTGTTTATATATTGTATAAATAGGGATGCGGTGGCTCAGTGGCTAAGACGCTGAGCTTGTCCATCGAAAGGTCGGCAGTTCAGCGGTTCGAATCCCCAGTGCCGCGTAACGGGGTGAACTCCCGTTACTTGTCCCAGCTTCTGCCAACCTAACAGTTCAAAAGCAGGTAAAAAGTGCAAGTAGAAAAATAGGGGCCACCTTTGATGGGAAGGAAACAGCGTTCCGTGCACCTTTGGCGTTGAGTCATGCCA